AAAATATACTACACTTGCATTTGTACAACGTAAAGTCGAAGAAAAGTTATAGTATAATAAGTAACACTTTTTTAAGATTTTAAGAAAGGTTGAATTAAAAAGGCTGCATTGTCCTCATTTCATAAAAAAATACGTGTAGAAAAAATAGCCATAATGAAAAGAGACTTAGTATATATAAATGTAAGTCCTAAATTATAGTCAAACTTTTTTCTCCTAAACCTTATACATGTAATAGGACAGTTAAATTTGTTTTTTTTAATACAAGTACTCATATAGTTCGTTTATTTTAAACCTTAATATCTAGGTTCCTGGGGATCTTGACAACTATGGAAGATATGATATATACATTAGAGGAAGTGGTATTTTCAACTTTGAAAACATCACCCGAGTATATCCTGGATACCGGAGAAATGAAAAGAAAAAATCGCATAACATTTTTATACAGACAGATAAAGCCGCCTACAAAAGTGGTCAAAAAGGTAAATGAATAATATCTAATATAATTATGTTTGATACCATGTACTCACAATTGAAAATAATAGCTTGAAAACCATCAAGTTCATCGTGGTTTTGTTTTCTGTTTTTCTTTATGGCATGTTTTGAAATTCTTATCTTTCTGGTTACTATATTCATTTTTTTTCTTTTCATTTAATTTATCATTTATAGATCTTGATAATAATTTTAACCTTACTTCCTCACATAGTGACACAAACTGGTTGTCGGTTGAAACTGCTTTTAATGAACCTGTTAGTAATTATGTAACATTTTCTTTCAGCACTAAAGGGTTGCATATAAGCTTTCTAAATGTACAACATCTTATGCCCAAAATTGATGAAATACGTATGATACTTAATGAATCAAATGCCCCAGATATTTTTGGTTTATGCGAAACATTTTTATGTGATTCAGTAGAAGATAAGGATCTCAAAATTGATAATTATACTTTTGAAAGGAGAGACAGGGTATTAAAGGGTGGCGGTGGAATTGTAAATATATATCAAAGATACTGTTTCTTATAGAAGGCGAATTGACATAGAGTCGCAAAATGTTGAATCTGTTTGGTTACAGGTTAATTTTCACACAATAAATCTGTACTATTAAATTTCTTATACAGGCCACCTAACAGTAACCAGTCTTGGATTGATTTCTATGAGCAGCAATTAATTACTGCAGAATTAAATAATCTAGTTTTTGTATGTAATTGGAGATATGAACATTAACTATTCATACCCTAAACAATTTTAATAATAGCAAATGGGCGCATATTGTTCAAGATTTTGGCCTCGAGCAATTAATCCAATCTCCTACTAGAGTAACTAAAGATACATCTACTATAATTGACCATTTTGTACGTATCTTCCCTTAACCATATTCATGATGTGAGTGTCTCTAATTTAAGCTTAAGCGATCACTATCCATTGTCGTTTACAATAAATTGTGTTACAAGAAGGGAGGCAAATGCTTTCTCGCGCATAAAACGATAAATTATCGTTCTTTCAAGAATTTTAATGAACAAGTATTTAAAGATGATTTGAATGCTTATAATTTTGATATGATTGAAACTATTGCAGAGCCAAATAACTCACTTGATGTTTATACAATATGATTGAAACATTATTTAACAAACATGCGCCTGTAAAAGTAAAGCGTATTAAAAGGACTAAACAACCAGCTTTGGTACTCTGACGAAATTAAAGAGGCCCGCAATAAAAGAGATCACTATAAAAGTTGTAAAGACTGGATTAATTATAAAGTTATGGAGAAAATAAATGCCAGGCTATTATTAAAAAGAGTAAGAAGATGTTCTATAACAAGGCAGTTTGAAGATTCGAGAGATTGTAAATATTTATGGCAAAATTTAAAAGACATATCAAATGAAAATAAGCAGCAACCCCGTCTTTTACCAATCACATTAAACATTAATGATGTTCTTTTGAAGGAAATGTGAATGTTGCAAAATGCCTTAAAAAAAACATTTTACAGAAATTTCAAATCTAATTAAGAAATCTTATTTTAATGTTAACAATTTTTCGTATTTAAAAGATTTTCTAGATCATAAACTTAGACAAATGCAATTTGACATTGATTTCATAACCACATTTGAAGTAAGCAAATATATTGACAACCTTGATAAAAATAAATCTTCTGGCATTGATGGAATTGGTCCTAATATGTTAAAACTATGTAAAGACTCTATAACGAGAGCAATAACTTCAATTATTAATAAGAGTATTTCACTAGGTATATTCCCAGATAAACTGAAACTAGCACGTGTTATACCGTTACACAAAGGGGGAGATAAGTCAAACCCAAATAATTATAGGCCAATATCTATTCTCCCAACCATTTCAAAAATTTTTGAAAGGCATATTGCAAATCAGCTTAATAATTATCTTCGTTTAATCAGTATCATTAATGAGCACCGGTAAGGTTTCCGGAAACATCATTCTTGTCAAACGGCTTTGATCCGCCTTAATATAAACTTTTATTTTACGCTAGACTTACGAGTATTGATGATGAAAATATAATCGGTGCTGTATTTTCAGATTTTATAAAAACCTTTATTCAGTTGACCATAATGTACAGATTCATAAACAAAACTTTATCATTTTTTCTGAAAACTCTGAAAAATTTTCTCTAACAGAGAGAAAATTGTAAAAGTCAACAATAATAAATCTGAAAGCTTGTCGGTTATATCAGGTGTAGCATAGGGGTCAATCTTAGGTCCTATACTGTTTCTTTTATTTGTAAATTATTTCAGTCACTACGAATTCAGACATTGATATGTATGCAGACGATTCAAACATTACACATAGCTGACCAAAGTTTGAGTAATATACAGTCTGAGTTGCAACTAGACTTACTAAAAATACAGGAATGGTTTGCACTCTCAATAATATGGCCATAAATCCAGAAAAGACCACGTGCATGATAATTTGATCAAAATGTAAAATAAATAACATAGGCAATCTTTTCTCTGCATATTGAGAATTCGAGTATAAATAATGTTCATTGTCAAAAGCTACTTGGATTGCATATTGATAACTGTCTATCTTGGAAAAACACAATATTGACAAAACATGTTCTAAGCTTGCTTCTAAAATATCTCTGCTGAAAAGAATTCAAATATTTCTTACACCTGAAATGAAACAATTATTTTATAACGCTTACATTGCCCCTACTTTTGATTATGGATGTATTATTTGGTCCCAATGTAACAAATCAGATCTAAATAGAATAACAAAATTACAAAAAAGAACCGCTAGAATTATTTTAAATAAACCCGTAAAAACAAATTTCTCTTGATATGTTTCAAAATATGAAATGGTTATCTTTTCCATCTAGATGTAAATACTTTTCTGGAATTATGGTATATATAAGGCGATGAATGAATTAACGCCAGCATATATTTCTAATCTAATTCCGTTATCTCAAAATAAAACTTACTTACTAAGATCAACACATAAAAAAGATATTTATGCAATAAACGACCTAAAACAAATTATTTGAAACGTACTTTTTATTATTCTAGTATGGAGTTATGGAACACTATTCCTTTAAAAATAAGAAATCTTTCAAGTCTTAAATTATTTAAATCACATTTCAAACATTTATTATTATCTAGAGATGAATTATAGAAAATTTACCTATACTATAACATAATATTATGTCTGTCTTCTTTGTTGATTAAGATTTACTAAATGTTGTAATCTTTACAATTGCTTGAATATGTCCGTTGTTATGTTTATGTTTTATTGAAGGCCTTGTTGAAAATAAGATTTTGCATTATATGTGTTGTATCTAATGCTTTGATGTATTGTCTTAATAAGTTACCTTCGTTCAATAAAGAGTTTATTATTATTATTATAGTTAAATGCTCTACTTACTCGGTTCTGCGCTTTTTTTATAACATTAACAGTGTACTAGTGTAGCATTCCTGTCCGATTAAACAATTTCATTCCAAAGTGCAGATATTATATATTACTTAACAATTTACTTTTAACGTTTTTGTTTGATTTTTTCAGTTCGATATCGAGTCTTTGTTGTAGACAGAGATATGAAGCCGATGGATGAAGTTATGACAATTTCTATCATGGTAGATATCTTAAAAATTAGATTTATTTCAAAATGAATAGAAAATATAGTTGAAACATCAAATGAAAACCTGGCAAACTTCGTCACTTGCCGTGTCTCATACAGATCTTATAAGCGTCGACATGATCAGGAACAACACAATACCTCAAAGAAACGCTTTCAGAATTATTATAAAAGACGGAAAATACCGATGTTTGCCGACTTTTAGCATCGTTTGATTATAATATTATACAGAACATCTAAATGATTATAACAGTCTAATATGTTGCGTCGCGTTCAGCTTATTTTTAAAATACTGATAAAAAACAACAAAGGACTACAGCAGCGATAACTAACATATAGACCAATTACAATGTAATACATATATTTATAATTTAGGATCCCAAGTCAAACAAAATAAAGGAGCACGTGAACGTCAGCGGTCTATATGGATTCTCCGGAGAGATGTCACTATCTAAACAGCCAGTTCTCGGTTACTGGGCAATCCGCGTGAACCTGGAGGTAGGTAACGGTCCTGCCTACTACCACCAACCCCGTCCAGTAGTTTGTTATGGATTTGCCCTTCTTCAAAATCTCAACATGTCTGATGTCAACTTCAGGGAATTGTAAGACCAAAGTTGGTCTTCTTTAAAAGCACATCATGCCTCAGAAACAAATAAATGTTTACTACTTTAGAAGGGGCAAATATGAATTTTATAATGTTTATATAATGATTTTAGAAAAATGTTAGATGCTCGTTACCTAAAAAAGTATCGATAAGTCATAAAAGTAGCACAAAACAAACAAAGTAGTATTTTGACTTCTATAAAAAACTAATTCATTATAATTGTACTTATTGCCGGAAAGCAATAGATGAAAAGGATGGATCAGGAAATTGGTCAATAAGTAACTTTTTTGGATACTATAACAGTACACCAAAATTAAAAAAGCTTTTGAGAAATAAGAAATAAAAATAAAAACATTTCTCGGTCATAATGTACCTTTAATCAGCAGTTGTAAGTAGTACATGTATTCATTATTGTTCACCATATTCATATCGTGTGGTAAAGAATCGCTAAAGTTGTATTGAAACAATTACAAGCTAGCCTTATGTGAATAACTTAATTTTGAGAGAATAAAGTAACAAGATTTTACTGAGCATAACGTTTTATTTGGTGTTAACGTTCAGTTTCGAGCGTGTTAAAAGAAAAAAAGATACATAACCATAATATCTTGAAACTTACAAATTTTGATTACACGCTTATTTTTACATGTAAAATACATTAATGAGCCGCGTCACGACAAAACCAACATAATGTGTTTGCGACCAGCATGGATCCAGACCAGCCTGCGCATCCGATCAGGCTGGTCTGGATCCATGCTGGTCGCAAACGCACTATGTTGGTTTTGTCGTGACGCGACTCACATTCAATTGACCATGGTCGTGTACAAAAATATTCTATGTTTTATATTACAGAACACAGAAAATGTTGAGGAAAGGATATCTTTTGAGGTTCAAGAGTATGGTACGTTTCAACATTGTTTTTTAGTTTAACATTATCTGTATAAGTTTTATCTGCTTACTAGTAATTCCATTAAACAGCAAGAGATAGTAAAATGACTCTCGTAACAATTTTTTTGTTTGTTTTTTTAATCAACATTAATTAATTATTTTGCAAGTCAAGTTGTAATTACGAAAAAGATAACAACAACACTTCCAAGTGGAAAATAAGGTTTAAAGTGCCATGCTTATAATTAATGTACGATAAATAAACAAAAACCATAATTTTCGTCTATGGTTTTTAGATGTAATTCGTTTATATGTAATCATTATTTAAGTTACGAAAAGAGCAATCAGTGATTTTTTTAAAACTTTTTTTAACTTTCACATCAGTTTTCCAAGTGAATTTATAATTATCGTTAGTGCACCTATAAATCGACGGTCTAGTGCTATAAGGGCGTAAATGCATTTTTACAAGTTTTGGGAAATTGAAAAAAACTGTCTACAGACTTTGATCTTTTATCAATCATGATAAAATTTGGGACACACTTAGAACAACTAATATCGATTTTTTTAAAAACATTTTTCAAATTAAAATAACCCATCACCTTAATAAAATTCACGAAATGCGTTTTATGCCCTTATAATATTTACATTTTCATGCATCGGCCAATAATTCTAAAAGGACGGAACTAGCAGTTACTCTCTTTAAAATTATTACTTCGACTTCGCTAAATAGGGCGTAACTACCATATATGCTCTTTTAGATTTTAGTGTATTCTTTAATTTTTCAATACAATTATATAATTGTTTTTTATCTATAACAATAATGAATTATAATAAGTGACCATTTTTAAAGTATCCTTTGTCTTTTATCCTATGACATTGTATGTGAAGGTTACATGACAGATAAATAAAACACGTATTGATTAATCATATGATTTAGAACAGTTTCTGTGTTTCATTAAATTAGCTTCCAGCTGCATGCTTATTATATAATTAACCTAAGAAGTTACAACAAATTGATTCTTTCCTTGAATTAACTTAAATGACTGATACATTCTGTGTGTGAAAAACCCACGAAGTAATGATACATGTCAACTATCTAAGTTCTGAGTATTTCATGTTGCCCATTGAAACCATAAATGGAAAAGGTTGTACTTCAAGTTGGATTAGTATCTACCTTATGATTAAAATAGAGATATTTCTAAAGAACTTATGGTTAACGACGGACGACAGACATATTCCTATCACAGACAAAAGCTCACCCAAGCACTCAAACATCAAACACGGAACATTATTTACGCTTAATGTACAATGATGCATATACGGCAGCTAATACAAAACATAAAGGCAACTTTGATACAAATTTTAACTGTTTAGTTTATACAAATTTATCTAAGTTCGGTTGTGTTGGAAGTTGTAAGCTTATCTCAACACACTTGAATCTGCTCCCATTGAAACAATACCTTGGCCCTAACGGGTTTTGAACAGTTAAACCGTTAGTTCTTGTCACAGTAGCCAGATTCAAGCGATTTGAAAATACTTTTGAAAACTAAAATATACATTTTCAGACAAAATACACAAAATAATTTTTTTTTTCTATATTGAGGCATGAAAAAATAGATGATCATTCATAAAATAGACATGGAATATTATCATCAATCATGTATTCATGTATACATGTACATATTGTACTTAAAAAAAACTGCCAAATACAAGCTTAAAGACACTTTGAAATACAAGAATACACCATTTATACTACTAACAGATCCAAATTAAAATATCTTATTGTAATTAACAATCAACTTTAGATCAACGAAACTAAGACTAAGCAATGTCAACTGTATCTAGCATTGAAGTGTCTGAACTCTATGCTACTATACCATAGTCTATTCCCGTCACACAGTGTTGTCCAATGGCCCAATGTACAATAACCTTCGTTATTAATTTAAAAAATTTAATTAACAGTTTTACTATGAAGGAATTATTAATATTAGTTTTTATGTAATCTGGGTCTTTTCGACCCTTTTACAAGCTTGACATGCACGGTGTCTCCTGTCATCTCAAAATGATTTCTAACACAGAAGAGGTGTGGATTTTGTCAGTTTCTACAGTTTTTACTGCACAAAGACACATTGTTGAAAATATCTAGTTTCTTTTAAGCCACATGAAACTATCGGAGTAGAATATTAAACATTCTTTAACATGACAAAATTTTGAATGTTTATAAACTTTAAGACAATTTAATGCAATATCGTTGTTTCTTTTTTGGAAATTTCTCGGTCTATGGGAGGAGACATTCCTCCCACTCCCACCTGATTATAGATAGTACAACCAGAGGCCTATATATTACGAAACATGCAAAGCGCCTGTTTGAATGCAATATTGCTATTTCTTTACTCTTTTCATTTTCTTTCAAGTGATTCAGTTTTACCCCCTTATGCGTATCCTTAAATGTGTCAAGACATGTCCCTGACTGACACAAAATCATAACGTGCGTAAGTGTGACTATTTGACTATCTATTTGAACTAACGTATCAAAATCTTAAAAGGGCCAAACTGCTACTTAGGATCTTATAAAATTTGGGCACGGTGTAGTTATGGTGTAGTTACGCCCTTATAAAATTTTCCTTTTGAGCTCGATGCACTTACGCCCTACCAATCATTCTTCGATATTGAAGCCAACTTAAATGCTAGGGTAAAGATATTTTGTCAGCAGGTGCGCGGTGACGTTCTGCTTCGAATGGCGTAAAAACATATAAAAGGGCGCAAGTACAACTTACGCCCTTATAGCACTAGACCGTCGAAATGTTTATTAACATTAGCATTGTCGATTGCGTTCACCCTGTGCGGCGACTTGATTTCAGCTAATCAATGGAACATACCAAGTTGTTTTAGAAAATGGGGGTTTAAAAATAGAGCTATGTTGATTGGATTAAAAGAATATTTGTATTTGTTTTATGACAAAAACCTTAAAACATTTTTAGTCTTTGCTCTTTTAAAATAAAGACACACATTGCATATCTAAAAATGTTATTTCTATTGTTTTAGTTTTACCAAAGTACGAAGTGAAAGTGAAACTTCCGCCATTTGGAACTGTAGCTAATCCGGAATTGAAAGGAAGTGTAACGGCAAAGTAAGATTTTTTTTCACGGGAACTTTTTCCAAATAACTCTTTTTATTTCACACCTTATAGAATATGACCAATGCACTTTCATCATCTTCACCACTTGTGGTTCCAATAGAAATCAGTATTGGATCCATTCTTATCAAGTTAGCCTTGTTTTGATTTCTATAGTCCAAAAGTCCATATAAAACCCATATCACACCCCTTTCAGCCTCGTTTTCATTTCCAGAGTCCTAAAGGTTCTTATGAAATCCATATCTCACACCATATAGCCTCGTTTTTTTAATTTTCAGAGTCCAAAAAGGTTCATATGAAATCCATATCACACTTCATATAGTCCAAATGGTTCATATCAAATCCATATTTTGGACTCTTGAAAATAAAAACAATAAAATATAGGGTATTTCTCGTTTTTTTTTATTTTTCGGGAGACCAAAATCTATATTTATCAAATCCTTATTGCAATTGCAGATGCAAAGGTCTGTCAAAATGCCTAAAAAATGGTTATGTGAAACTGGATAAGTACACAGCTGCAAAACCTCGTCCAATATAGTTTTGACAGCTGTGTACTCGTCATCCAATATAATTCAGTATTGTACTCAACAATGTATAATAACCTCATAAGTGTTCATTAAAGTTATGGTGCGCGGTAAATGTTTTATAAATACAAATAAGGATGTTGTTTTCTATTTGTTGAAAACGCATTCGACGGATTTTTATTCATTCTGTCCTGACGTTACATCATTTGAACTTATTATGTTTTTCATAGAAGTAATGAAAATCCTTTGTATATTTTAAAACTGATCTTCTAGCATGTATTTGTTATTTATTTAGATATACCTACGGAAAACCTGTTAAGGGACACGTAACTTTGCGAGTGTCAAAAGGAGGCTCGAACTGGTGGTTTTTCGAGCCAAGAGCAATTCAAACCGAGTTTAAGGTAGGAATCGTACATCCCTTTATTTTTAGATTATTTTATTTTGTACGATATTAAAATTAAACACTTATCAAGTCTTCGCCTTTGCCTTTTGAGGGCGCCGACACGAAGACACAATACATTTCCGGCGAAATAACGATAATTAATTGATAAGATCTCGTGTCGTCGCGTATAAAAACAGAAACGAAATGGCAGAAGTCAGCCACCAAAGGTTTTTGTTTTAATTTGTATTTGACCACTTAGCTATATTACACGTTTATGTATTTCGGTGATTTAACAGATCGACGGTGAAGCAGACTTTAGTATTGCCACTGACACCTTGTTGAAGTTTGATCCTTCGCTGAAGTATGATACCCTGACCGTAGAGGCCAACGTGACCGAGGACGAGACAGGAGAGATCCGTGTAGCCAGGAGCACCATAACCTTTCACGAGAGACCGCTTAAACTTGAGTTCCTGTCGTATGGTGATGACTCGTTCAAACCAGAATTTAAATATACAACCTATGTAAGATTGAGTATATTTATCAATTTAAACCTATATATTCACAAGTATGAAATGTCTTTTGAACAAGTACGAACGCTTTCAAATGACATACATTGCGATTGGTCAAACCTGTATTCGATTTAACCATACTATTCAAAATGGTGTATATTTCAATAATTTTAGATTAAGTCTCACTTTGTACTGGTTAATATTACTTGGAAAAGTAAAATAAAGTAATATTTTTATAGACATTTATTCCTTGTTCGAATTCTTTTCGAACAATTTCTTCCACTGTGATAAGTTTGAATTATAACTGGTATTTTTGGGCAAAAAATAAAACCAGTTTCTTTTGATAACTGTGCATTGTATTCGACTATCATGTTGTCTTGTAGATAAAGATCACACAACCTGATGGTCGACCTTTGACACAATCTGGGGATAGAGTCCGTATTGGCGTTACATATTTTACCGACAAGGAAACCGGTGTATCAGCACCTGTCAGACCGCCAAATAGTCCTTCGTCCAACTTGATGGAGTTTCTATCACCGTTTCCCGACGGAAATGTAATATTTATGCCGGAAATGTTTTTGTCTGTACCACGTGATGGAATTATTAAATTGGAACTTGATATTCCGGTGAATGTCGCAACTGGGCATATTGACGTAAGTTGAATGTTACTTATGATATTCAAGATAGCAAAGTGCTGCATATAAATGTCGCGCGGCTCTCTATTCATAAAAACATTTACTGATACATGTAGCTCTTCTTTCCCAGGCATTTGCATACTTTGGAACAACATTATTTTTTGTTCCTATGTATACCCATGTGTCTATTTGTGCCTTGTAAAGCATATGAGGCATAATCAACGAAAACGTTTTAATAACTTTTTGCGTCATCAAGTTTGCATTAACATGTACACTGTAATTTTCTATGTTTTTTTTAAATTTTGATAAAACTGTACATTGTAATATAAAAGAAAATTAAAAGAATAGTATAATATGCCGATATTCGGTCGGTATTATCTGCAATCCTGATATACCACAATTTCTATATGACTTTAAATGCAACAAAAATCAAATCAAATATAAGCATAATTTAACATATAATTACAGGTGAAATTAAAGGATGAGAAAATATCTAAGAACATCCAGCGTTTCCGTACAGCAAGTAAATCGTATTTACATCTTGAGATGAAATCCTCGTTTGTAAAGGTATGTTGCAACATGAACATGATTTCAACATGATATCAACATATTTCAACATGATATCACCGTGATATTAACATAACATCATCTTAATATCAACATGATATCAACAAATATCAACATGATATCGTCATGATATCGGAAAAAAAACAACACATTTTTATTCAGTAATATCTGTATTTCAAAGGCATTTGATAAGTTTAGATTAATTTGGTACAAAACGTCTATATATTTTATGTCATTTACATAAAAACATAATAAGAAGACTAACATTTCAAATGTGTTTATTTGAACCATATGTTAACTAAGCCTCTTTAAATTCTAATTACTCTTCATATAATAACCTATTACAATTAGAGATTAGATTTCTTAGTGTTTCTTATTAGCAAAAATAATTGCATAGTATTTATTCTATATGTGACCTACTTGTATTGGGAATAGGTTGGTAAGCAGGCAGAGTTCAGTGTAAGAAGTAATGTCAGACCAAACGGAAAGGTCACTTACCATGTAAGTAGAATTTTACCTTAAAATATTTGTGAATTATACTTTATTTGATGCCCGAACCTATTCATGTGAGGTTGCGAAGCCCGAACTTGTTGATAATTTTGTTACGACGTTTGCTGTCTTAGCACATTTCTCAAAGACGATGCATGTTAAGAATTCGTAATCATTCCTATATCATTATTTTGTAAAGATTTTGATAATCTAGATGATGGGCAAATATGTAAATGGTATGTAAATGGTTTATGTCACATAAACCAACCAAACCATATTACGGTTATACCGCCTGTTTTGATCATGCATTTGTTATAGCTTAAATCATGCAATACATTAATTGAAATGAAATATTTCGCAATAGTCAAATTGATTTTAAAATCTTTATAATCGCACAAGGATATCCGTTATTCGTACATCATTTAATACCATTTCTTTTCAACACACTCTGTAACATACGATCAATTAGTAATCTCCCATATTTTCAGATTATCAAGAATGGACGGATTATTCAGACACATTTTACCCATATTGCATCTGTTTACCAAAAGAACACATTCTACGTGACAATGACGTCAGAGATGGTTCCGGACTGTATTCTTCTTGCTTATTACTACAACGATAAACACAGTGAGATCATTGCTGACGCCATCACGTTTACGGTTGATATGCATTTCCAAAACGATGTAAGCTTGAGCTCTGAATTTTTGTATCCATAATACATGCATATATTTTCGAAAACAGGATGATTTACTTCTCTCGATTTCTGCTTTTTATCTCTTTCTCTTATATCTTTTTTGTAAGCATATGTTTTAAACATACATATAGTTAGTTGGTTGCCACACACTGGTTTATTGTCGGTTGAATTGTCTGCCGAACGGACAGTAGGCGGTACATAATGCCGAAGACATACGTGTGATATCGACTCAGACCTTTAACGGTTTTATACAACCCAGTTAAGACCATTTCTAAGCAGAAAGAGTTTTGTACAATGACAAATGTAAAAATAAACAATGACCGTCTTGACTGGATTTTGTGTGTCGCCAATTTAAGCAATCTTTGTCTAAATTGCCATACACCAAAATGGGCATAAATACTGATACTTTTTATTCAATACTTGATTGTAAAATCTGACTTACATTGCTTTTAAAATCTTTATACTTCATACAATGTTATTTGTTTTTATTACACCAAAACCTGTTACAAACGATCATTTATTTAATAACTTATCTCCTATACTTTCATATCATATCATAAAAAATTAGTAAGAGGTATAACAAATGTGTGGTGAATGCATTTTTCAGGTGAGCCTAAAATTCGACAGGACCCAAGTCTCGCCAGGAACTAACGTTTCTTTAAACATCAGGGCTGATCCTGGTTCACAAGTTTTTATTCTTGCTGTAGATAAAAGTGTAATATTGCATAAAACCGGAAATGACATCACCGAAAAGAGGGTAAAATTCATTTTTGACAATTAGTAATAATGTACATTCAAATTACTAACAAGCATAATAAAAGTAACAAAAGTACCAAAATATGACGTTAAGTATTCGTATGATCATTATTTACAAAGTCCGAAATTTCTTCTATTTTACGTTAACGAAGGTTCTGGATCTGTGCGTTTCCAACACCTAGTTCTTCAGCAACTTTATACGCTGGTATTCTCTTAATATTCAGTTTTTGTATGGCTTCATACTTCTGTTGAAGATCTAAAACAATACGTTTTTATTTGATTCTGGCATTTTTTAACCAGACAAGGAGTAAGAACAGAGATATCTTTTATGACATAGTCGCTAAAAACATTGATATGCACATTCCGGACCATACAAGTCAAGGTCGTTAGTAACGTAACTCAGTCACTTGCTTAATACAGTGCAACTTTATAACCGAAAAAAATGGGTGGGAGGAGAACAGGTTCACATAAGACAGGAAGTCACTATGTACAGTGGGTCACTATGGCAGTTTTGACTGTACATTGTCAACATATACGATTATACAAAATTTATAAAACAAGTGAATTTTTCTTAGAATCTTTCAAGGTGGAAGTAAACAGAACTGCTTTGAAACTATAAAGAAACAGTACAGAATATTTTTTGAATCTCGCTGGACATTTTCGAATTATGATATTACATTTTACAAATTAATGTTTTACAAAACAGGTGTACAATAAACTTGGAGTGTATGAAAGACCAGGATGGAAATACCAAGATTCCTACTTGTATGGAAGAGTATCAAGTAACGATGTTGTTGGTATTTTTAATGTAAGTGTATAAACATTGTTGAAAATTGAATACTGCGATGGTCGGTGCTGGGGTGGGGGGTTAAGAAGTGAAATATTTTACTAGTATAATACTTTTCATGAATATATTCTTATACAATCTTTAGTTATTACGTACTTTTTCATATAAATGCTGATCCCGAGGATCCTCCCCTACGAAAAAAATCCCACCTTAATCGCATTGTATTACAATACACATTATTTAATGGCCTGCCATGACAGGGAATGGAAAAAAACATTACTAATATAGGCAAGAGAGAGCTATACCGTTTGTTTAAAAAATGTTTCACTGCTAAAATCTTTCAAGCATCCGGTCGGATTACTTATTTTTTCCTGAGACTAGAATTCCATAAGACATAATGAGATTTTGGTATGAGAAAATTTATAGACCTTTATAGGACATAATTGTTAGCTTTTATTGGCTAAAGTTAGGTAGGATATAACATACATATTTAAATTAGCAAATGGTTAAAGGATTGTCTTTATTCATGTTCAAATTTCGCATATTTCACAGCCATACTATTTTACAGAACGTCGGTCTTTCGGTGATTACAGATGCATTGTTGCATGACTTTAACTTCATGAAACGTGAGTACAATTATTTTTAATATTTTAAATGATGTACTAGTATAGTGCCCATGAAGGACGTGCACTTACTTATATATCGTTCCAGATAATAAAATTGCCAATTACAAAATTTGATCAACATGAAACCATATCGTTTACTCGTTTTCAAAGTGTATTGAACAACTGGTAAGACCATGCACCTAAACCTATTTTATTCAATTATTTCTTGTTATTTATTTAAGAATCATTTGAACATTGAAGGTTTTTTGTCGCTTTGTTGTGAAAAGGTACAATTATACTATATAATCATTATAATGCATTCTTTTTTCTGTTTAAGTCATATTAACATGAAATTAACATTCATATTGGCGCCCTTACTTGATTTAGTTTCTTTTACTAAGCATTTGACAAATTTGAAAGTTACATCCCATCAAAAATCTACATTTTGATGTTTGGGTGGTAACACAATCTAAATTTTCCAAAAGAAAAATAAAGCCCCTCGTATCCAACATTGCGTTTTTCTGAGATATAATTAATTTCCATTCCTTTGTTTATAAATGCAAAAGACTGTTTCCTGTTTGAAATAAACAATTGATTTCAATTTTAGTTAAACGCCAAATAGAAGAGCAATCTCCATATGTTGATAGGGGTGCTTCTTGGGCAGCTTCCGGCCAAGGAATGGACATTAATGAATGTTATGGTCCCGGATGTTTATCCACACAAGGAAGATATTTAAGTGCTTTCAGAACAACGATTCGCAAAGATTTCCCAGAGACTTGGTTATGGGCCAATGAGTCTGTCAGGTAACAGTGAAAGTAAAGGGCGTTCAAAGTCAAAGTAAAATCGAGTCAATCCGTATGCCCTTTACATAAAAGCAGTGGTTTCTCTCTTTTCTCTTTGTCTTGCAGCTTGTCTAAATGTGTGACCCCCAAACCTGACAGATTTAAGTCAATCCAAGTCTATGGATGCAACGTTATGTGTAAAAATCACTTGCTATTTAACTGAAAGAAGCACATTACTGACAATGTGATTCTTCCAAGTCCTGTTAAATGGGCAATAAAAATATTATATTTAGTCACCAATGTTGTAAACAGGTATCAATCTTTTTATAGTTCAGATGGAGATTAACAGTAGAAATGGGTATTTTGTTACTGATATTGACAGCATTTATGAATCATCACCTAACCCATGTTCACCTGGTTCAAAATATTCTTGCGAATGCCCGCCGCCATTTTGTACTTTAACTACAACTGTGAGAAAAGATTTTCCAGAGACTTGGATTTGGTCTAATACATCTGTCAGGTATGGCTGGCTTACAGGGACTGATTAATATCTGCTTAATAGAAGGGAAAAGATAACTCGATGTAAAATGTTAATACACTAAAGCATTATCATAATTGAACAAACTTATTTTTTATAAAAAATCATTATTTATCCTTAAAAATTATACGTATTTGTATATTGTGCATCATATGAAACGAATCCGTCAAATTAAACAAACAAATAAAATAAATCTTTAACATTGTCTTTGCACTTATAATCTGAAATGTATAATGTTTGTAACATGGTTTTCAGTATCATTGAGCTCTTTTAGCACATAGCATTGTTTAGCACTTAAGCATTTGAAATGAAAATTGCGTTTATTTCACAGAAAATGTTTTATAAACGCAATCGTTTATTTCACAGGAAATTTGAAGTAAACGCAATCGTTTCTTTCACAGAAAATGTTACACAAGCGTAATTTTTATTTGTCACTTAAAAACGCATATATTCATTAGTTGTGTATCTTTAATAGTTAAAATACAATAATAGTTATTATTGAAATATATTCCTTCCTTTTTTCCATGAATCAACATAAAGTAATGGTTTTGTTATAAATCAAACAGTAAATGTTAAAAGACGAACCTATTTGTATCTATGTAAATATACATGAACATTGTACATTAAAACGTGATTTAAATGTTCCTTGTGCAGTGTTGAAATAAATAATATGTTATAACATTTAAGAAATAACAACAAACTCCATGTTTATTTTTGTTGATTAAATATTCGGCTGATGATATGCACAACAAATATTGAAAGCGCTACCACTATAATTTAAAATTTAGAGTTTGTGTTATTTCTTAAAGATATATTATGCTCAGATTTGATATACAATATATATAAAACATGTTTTGACTTCACATAAGGTAGTTTTAAATTCTACATACTATAGGTGGTTTCAGTGTGAATATATAATGTCGTTAAACACTGGTATTTTTGTAAAGAAAAACAACAACTTTATTTGACCTGTAATAGGGAACACAGCTTCAAATACTAAGTTTATTCATTCTTTTATTAAAATTAGATATAATCAGTAAGAATTTTTAGATTTTAAGAATTTTCGCAGATTAAAAATTTTATACAAGGATGAACACATTATATCTTTAAGTAGTATTCTTTTATTAATACATTGTATATAATTATCTTTATAGCTCTACCGGAAATGTGGTCATGACCGCAACTGTACCAGATACAATAACCGACTGGGTGGCTACAGGATATGCTCTCAATGCAGAATCTGGTCTCGGTGTTGCTCCAGTCCCTGCTAATGTAAATTAGTTTTTTGTTTGTATACCACATTCTTATATTAGCGGGGGTCTGCCATATGTATATTTGTCTTGACTTGTCCTTTTATGAACAATTCTGTTTGCAAAGGTTTTTAATGATTTAAGATAAATTGTATGCTGATGAAACTTTGATAGTTTTCGTCTTTTACCGCAAGTTTTTTGTAAAGGCAGTCGCAAGTTGACAAGATCTTTGCTTCATCTAGCCCATGTTAGCGTCCAATGATTATATAAGTTACGGGGTATGACGAATTAGACCGATCTTTAACGATCTGACATGAAAGTTTATCCTTTTGACAATAAGGAATCGAATAAGATAACTAAATAAGTATTATTATTATTTGATGTGTTACTAATTTATAAAGGTGACAGCATACCTTCCGTTTTTCGTCAGCCTTCATTTACCATTTTCCATCGTGTCTGGAGAAGTGGCGGTTATTCAAGCTCTTGTGTTTAACTACTACCCACATGATATGTATGTAAGTATTAATATTAACAACATTTCTATTACATAATTCTAATGTTTATATAAGCTACTATAGTATATTTTTACTTTTACCATAGCATATATACATTAACTCTTATTTAACGTTTCAATTTCATCCTTTGCTTGTCGATATTTTTTGCATCATGTTCATTTCAACCATCAATTAAATTACCTCAGTTTTTGTGTGACTCCTACAGAAATTTAATAAATAATAAGACACATTGTTGTTCTCATATATGCAATGGGGACCCTTTTCTTTCTTGAATACATAGATAACTTGGTTGATATGTGAAATCAATTATTGCTTACGTAATTATAGTCAGTGAAGTCACAATTTTCTGATGATACTAATGAGTTCAATTTTATTTATCTTGAAATTTAATACTGCATAAGCCAACGGGTATTTGAAAATTGTTGCTCATTTATCAAACTTATTAATGCAGAACTATACAAAAAGTCAATCAGAGTTTGTTGCCATTGCTCTGAAGGGATCTCCTGTTTAATTTTATTTCTAGATGCATCTTATTACTTAAAAAGTTTTCAATTTTATATTTGAAGAGGACCTTTTGACTTGTTGTCTTTCTTGAAACCATGTTATTGTCATTTCAGGTAACCGTGTCTTTAAAGAATTCATCAGAGGAATTCCTTGGTATAACTGTAAACAGATATGGCAAGGAGGAGGAGACGAAAGACAGAGTCAAAAAATGTATTTTGGTAAATAATTATAGTTTTCAATGTTTTAATGAAGTCTTTGAAAAATAAGAAATTAATGTAAATGTTTAAATTGACTTTAGAATTAATTCAATATCATGATTGTAAGGCCTGGCCATTACATTACTAACATTATTTAAGTGAAGGCACTAGTTCTGGTAAACTGATTAGCAACCTTCCCGGGGACGTTGCGGTGGCTGAACTGTGCTTTTGTACCTTGTGGAAGGGAGTTACTGTCTTGATCCGAAGGGTAAACTACCAACACCACCACCACGGGTTAAATCCAATGAAAAAAGTACGAGCTACAGCAACAAAAATAAACAGAGATTTTATAAAAATACGATGATGAATTTGATTCAGACAAGTCACGACGTTTGTTCTATTATTGCTTTTCAATTATGATTTGTTTATGTAAAGTTGGTTCAGTATTTGATGATTCATTCTTTGTGTTTGATGTGTTTAATGTCCGTTCCGTCTTTAAAGCAATTTGTTTTGCAGGTAAAATCCAACGATGCCCACTCGGCGTATTTCACAATTAAAGCACAAAAGACAGGGACAATAACCCTTGAAGTTGAAGCATCATCGCCCAGGGGTAGAGACACTGTTATTCGTCAACTTATTGTCAGAGTAAGTTAAAAGGACATAATTAAACTTCAACTTGTGACCTTACAATTATGATGAGTAGAAGTGCAAACATTATAAATCTTTAGATCATTAAGAGTGGACATTAGGGCAACACTTTGTAAAAATGTCAACTTCAACTACATTTACAAATTGCTTAGGGTAATCTAGTCATATTGCAAGTACTACTTGTAATATGTACTCAATTAGAATATGGCTCGTCAGAAAATAAATGATATTAGAAACAAAAATGTTCTTCTTTCCAAAAATGGCTCAGATATAAATAAATATGCAAAATTATTTTAATTTAATATTGCAAATAATGTTGTTACATCTCATTTTTTCTTGATAACATGCAAATTTTCTGTTAATAAAATGTCGAAAATGTCAAAACTGTCAAAACATTTGCAAGTTTCATTCATACAGCAAGAAAGCTATTCAAATATTTAAACACATCTACTACTTCATCGAAGGATTTTCTTTGTGTTTCTTTTGCAATGTAGAAACATCCCATTCCACCTGTACAATGACTGTGTCAGAGTCATTTCTTTTAAATTAGATAGTTACTGTATGAAATGTATTGCAATTATCAAAATGATTAAGTATCAAAAATATTTATCATTTATACTTAAAAATATAGCATGTACATTTATGTAGTTGCACAATAAAAATATTCGTTTTACTTTATTCATTTCATTATTTCATTCAATATTTCATTCATTCATTTTATTTCCAGCCACCAGGACAACAAGAAGAAAACAATGTACCTGTGCTAATATCACTTGACAATGGTGGTAACTTTGAGAAAGATGTTCCAGTTATCTATCCATTAAGAATAGTTCCAGACTCTCAGAGAATACAAATAACAGTGATAGGTAACTTAGCCAAGACTGATTTTAGACCGGATCCGACACAAGGAAAATATCGATGATAATGTTATATTGAAATATTAGAGATTAATTCATAGATAATTACTTAGGTTCTACCAAGTTTGGTTTGTCTTATCACGCCGTTCCTTCAGTAAAAATCGTTATTTTATGAAACCATTTCTTCTTGTCGAAATAAATCGTTTATGCGGGAAATGGGCATAACATGACGTTGCAACGAATTCTTTTGTATTAAATATTTGTTTGCAGGAGCAGTCTAACATAACAACAACAAACACAAGAACAGTTAGACACACAAAAAAACAAAAACAAAAAAAAAGAGTATTGATCAGGCTAAGATATACAAATGTTATTGAATATAACCTTTAAAGATTTAAAGTTATTTCCTACAACAGAATTTTACATCGGTTTTGTGCCACCCAATTGAAACAGCCAGACCACGACTATCATACTTATCAGATGTAATTGTAACCAAACTTTGTTTATAGGCGACATGTTTGGTCCCTCTATGGATCACTTAGATCAGCTGATCAAGATTCCTTATGGGTGTGGAGAACAGAACATGGTCCGGTTCGCACCAGCTGTCTTCGCAGCAAAATACTTAAAAGTTACCAACAGATACAGTGATGCTATGAAGGAACGAGTCGAGTATATAATGGAAACAGGTTTGCAAAATATCATTTTTTTATGTATATTGTGAAATAAATTGTCAATAATAAAATTAATTGATGCAAACAATTTTAAAAAAATGTACATACATGAAATATTTACATTTTTAACATAAGAAAAACAACAACAAAAAACAATAAGGAAACAAAAAAGCACTTGACTTTTTATTCCATTTCTTTGGAGACTTTTTATTCCATTTCTTTTGAGATTTCTTTTATATATTGTAATTCTGGAATAACAGGTTGGCTGCATATATTATATCATGTAAATATATCCTGGCTGCTCCATCTGTTTGAGATAGGAATAGTGTTAACAATGTCATTTAAAGCAGCATGTCTCAAGATTCATGTTAATTTTTATATCTACACGTGAACAAAGAAAATGCTTGTGTGATAAACTAGTATTGTAACAAGTTTAAAAGGCTATTGAACCTTTTTTACTACAGGATATCAAAGACAACTGACATATCAGAGACACGACGGTTCATTCAGTGCATTTGGTTACAAAGATAATGAGGGAAGCTTATGGTGAGTATTTTTCATAAAATTAGATATCGTTTATCACATTTTTTCAAGTTTCACACGGCATTTGGTGGTAAAATGACTTTTTTAAATTTCAATTCAAAAGCAGATCGTGAATCAATGAAAGGTGGCCTTTAAATCTTGGTTTTGTTAGTATACTAGTGACTTTCTTAATTGTTGCATTTTGGAAAAGCAATTAGTTGATATCGTCTTCAGTTTGATGTGTTAATATTGGGAAAGGCTTTCCATAAGTTTTGATTGTATTTTGTTTGCATTGACATCGTAAGATTGTCCCGCAGGAGATGCCACATGATTAAAACTTCAGATTCGAAAATAATCTTAAATATATAAGCTACCTGAAGTCCACGTAAAATAATCGATGTCTTTTAAGCCCCGACAGTACAAAAATAGTAGCATCTCATTCTGAAGGACTTTCTGATTCATTTTCGTGTTGTCTCAGGTTTAAATGTGTAACCCTTTGTGGTCATCGTTCTTGCTCGGTCAATTTCTAACTATATAAAAAATCCATTGTATGTCAGTTTCAGGACAGTGTGACACCGACTTAAATAGAATAATGTTCACAGTAAACTGCAATATAAAAAGTACAAAAAAATTAGAGAAATGATCATCATTGTAACTGTATAGACATTTAATATCTTTTGATGTGTTTAAGTGCTTCCTATCCGATTTTCAGGCTCACAGCCTTTGTTTTGAAGTCATTCGCAGAGGCTAGTGAGTTTACATACATTGATCCAGCAGTTATTGAGAAAGGGGTCAGGTTTATCTTAGAGCATCAGAAAACAGATGGCAGTTTTAACTCGACGGGTTTTGTTCATAATAAGGCAATGCAGGTGGGTATCTTTCTTTTTACAAACATTTTCTTCAGCATAAAATGTTTCCTTAAAACGGTTTGGTTCGTTTTGGACAATTAAAGACGTTAAGGCGCACTAAGCTTTAAACAAATGTATATGGAAATGCGAAATTCTTACCGGTCAGAATGTTGATCTTTTCTTCTCTCTTCATTTACTTCATTTTCATTCAATGTTAGATTTTATTTCTTTCTAGGGCGGGTCAGTATCAAGCAGCAGGTCTCTGGCAGCATATGTATTGATAGCCATGAACGAAGTCCAAAGTAAAAATATCATGGTAAGCCTAAGTTATCAATTTTAAAAATGCACACTACCGCTATTTGAATCCTTGCGTTGCATGCAATATTTTCATTTTTTATAACCTTTAACGTTTTACGTCGTACGTATCATAGATTCTATTCGTATCACTTTTGCAATATTTGATCTACGAAATTCGTTTGTTGTGTGTTGAATGCGGAAAAAAACACATACACACAAACAAGGAATCGCCCAGTGATATGATATATTTTTAAAAACTCGCAGGCTTTTAATGTTTTCTTTCATATTTTTATGTGTTAATGCAGGGTCTTTCAAATACAAATAGACTATTCTATTAAAGACCCTTGTTGATGGTATGCAAAAAAGCTTCCAAGCGATATGTATTGACTAGTAATAAATTGTCACTGTGTGCTATGAAGAGTAGGAATATATTTGTCATGAAATCAAAACATGTAATTAAAGAAGAAATCATACGTATAAATGATGTAATTTCAGAGAAACGTCACAGAAATAGACTTGTTAAAGAAGTCAATTTTGTCGGCCACGGGATTTATTCAGCAAGGACGGAGTAGACTAACAGGGGATTATGAGATTGCTATAACAGCATATGCCAGTGCACAGTCTGACCCTGCAGACACTACTGACCTCCTGACCAGATTAGACCGGAGCAGCAGAATGGTGGAATCAGGTATATTGTCTTTTGTTTCTTTTATGACGTTTCGTGCGAAAAGCAATAGAAAAGCGTTATGTCAGATAATACTTATTATCATGCCACCTTCTAGCAATTTGCTAAAATTACTTTCTTGTCAATGATCCTGTGATGTGGAACTATATCTAAAGTTATTTAAAAAAGATTTATGCTAGCTAGTGTCAACTTTTCTCTGTCTGCAGATGGAACAAAGCGCTGGAAGAATGAAGTCAGAAGTATTGAAATTGAAACAGCTGGATATGCACTACTTGCCTACGCGAAACAAAACAATATAAACGGTGCCCTACCTGTTCTCAAATGGCTTGTACAACAAAGAAGTCCCTATGGAGGCTTCATCTCGACACAGGTATGTCATTAGAAGTTAAGAATATAACATTTTAATTGATACCAGTACCACTCAAGGTAGAGATATATAAAATCGGTAGGCGTATGTCTTTTTTCTCGTTTTACCGCACATGAACAATTCTTTCTAATAGCATTAGCATGTTTTAAAACTTTTGCTATGTTTATCTGTTGCTTTCTTGTACGTTACTTTTACTCTCAAAGAATCTGAGTGTTGCAGTATTTTATATTACAACCCTTATTCAGATATTTTTCTCATTCCTAGACAGATCTCGACAACCTTAGTATCTTGAATATCAAATTTAATACGATTATTTCAAAATCCACATAATTCCATTGGCTGAATTTGGCGTTAATATTTTTGAATGCTCGTGTGTAATGTGGATTTCTTTTGAGAATTTTTTATTTCACGATCTTTAATGGATGATATGGGAGTTTCCTGAAACAATGCATTATTTGCAGAATGCGTCTGAAATTACAGACATATCATTTTTCTCTTTTTTCAGGACACAGTAGTTGCTTTACAAGCGTTATCGAATATTGCGTCACAAATGTACACTTCTGACGTCAGTATGACAGTCAGTGTTGACTACGGATCGGAATCTCCAAAGAATGTCACAATAAACCCAGAAAACATGGACGTTCTTCAATTTATTGATGTAAATATTTAATGTACCTACAGTGTAACCTCTGCAGAACAGCCCTCTGTGGAGCAAACAACCAAAATCTTTGCCTCCCCTATGGTATTGCTATGCGATTGAAGTGAATTTAGATACATCAAATGGAAATTAAAATCCAAACAACTTGTTCAATTCAACATAGTGTTTCATATCAGATCTTCTACTTATATATTTTATGGAATAGTCTTTTATGCATTTTTTAAGTATAAGATTTATTGAGAAATAAATAATGGGTATATTCAATCTTTTCCTCTTATTATAACGATTTTCTATTTTCTGTCAGGTACCAGAGGAAAGCAGAACCCTTCGTATTTCAGCAACCGGCAGAGGAACTGGATTAGTGGAGGTAACTTTTATTTAAAATTAAGTTAAAGTTACAAACACAACGTTACCATGTTTTTTGTTTTCTTTTTATCCCGGTATGTGCTTTGCCTAAATGTTATTATCAGCCTATTTATTTTATTCAAATTTTCATTGCAAAATTTCTTATCCAGCTAGCTTACGGAACTTCGGTGGTTCTACTCAGGTGCCCGTTCATGTCTGAAACATAAAAGTCGCCATGTGACATTAACTGCGTTGGTGCGATGTAAAACTTAAACGAAATTCTTTCTTGGGTCAATGAAGATTAAATTTCCCTCCATTATTTAAGGACCTTAACTATTTAGTCAAGACTTGCTAGGAGGAATAGCATTCGCAAAAGAATAAATATCATCTTGGAAAGCAACACAAAATATTTGACTAGAACTGATCTGTAAATGATGAAAGAGATAAATTACACAAAAGGCGTTTTAAACATTATGCTTTATCCCAAGGGATCATCTTCATTTTCGCTTGATTTTTGTTTTCATTTTCTTCAGTACTGTATTAAATGAAAGTGTTTAACATAACAGCAAAACGACATCAATTCGTCAAGATCTTTAAATGCGTGTTGCAGGTGAGCACATTTTATAACATTCTGGAAGAAGAACGAAATCCAAGCTTTGACCTGATGGTGACAACCAATGGTACAGAAGTGGACAGATTTACTTTGAAAGTTTGCACACGGTAACTTTCTTTCTCATGTTTTTTTGTCAGACAAAACCTTTTTTGAAACTATTTTAGGCTTGTGATTTGATCTTGTTTCCTTGATCGTTTATTTATACCTTGCTCATAAACGCAGCGATTTTCGTTTAAATTTCGGCTTGAAATAGTTTAATCATTTTACATTACCCTTTTATCAAGTTTTCAAACTCTTTTAAAATTGCGTAACTATATTGCTTAGCCTTTACTTGATAACGTTATCGAATAGTGAGGTTAGAATTCGGAGAATTCTATAAATAGTTTATGGTATTGCAGTATGAAATTAGAATAAATGGATACATCAGCAGTAATAAGATGTGAATGGTCATTGGTCATTCGCATTGTACCTCTGCTCTGGTATGTACAGAAGTCTCAGTTCCTTGCGAAAGTGAAGGCAACTAGTGCTGGAAAACCACCGCATTGTTCCTGGAATCAGCCTGTCCAGGAACAATGCGGTGGTTGAATTGTGCTCTGGTAATTCAATGTGGCTTACTGTCGTGATCCGTAGTGAAAACTACCGCCACCACCAATAAGATGTGACGGTTTGCCTGCCTTTTAATGTTACTATGCTGCTCTAGGTATACCTATTCAACATTTACTATGGCATTGTGATTCTGGCATTTGCTTTATTTTTGATTGACCCTTTAGGTGGTTGGATAGCGAGGATAGTGGTATGGTGCTACTGGACATTGGTTTTCCTTCCGGTTATAAGCCAATACAACCATCTGAGGAGTTCTGGTTAAGAGAAAAGAAAAATAACGCGTATTTCTCCAGACAGGAACTGGAACATGGACGTCTTATACTCTACTATGATTATGTAGGTTTTATATTTTATCTTTTGTCTGAGTTTTTATTACTGTTGCAAACATTATACCAGTTTATCAAAATAAATCACGTATAATTGTTTCTGTTTTTTTTACATCGGCTTTATCTTTTTAAGTTATAAAAATACACTGTAATGATTTATTTATCAATTTTAACTATTTAAAAAAGTCTGAGAAAGAATCAAGCATTACCACGTTTTCATTTTTAAGTTCAGGCTTTAGATAAGAGATAAGGAGTAAAATATATTTGAAAAGTTAAACATCGTTTAACAGGACTTACAAATCAAAACCTCGTTTGTTTTTTTGTTTTAGGGTTTTTTTTGTTTTGGGGACGCTTTTTGTCAAATATTTTAAGTAGAAAAGTAGAAATAGAAGGTTGCTCTCATGCACGTTCATAAAATGAAGTTACAAAACAGTTTATGGAAAACAAATCTAATCTGTATTTTGTTGACTATATTATTCAGTTGGACGAGGAGATCGCATGTCAAACCATTGATGTTGTGAGAGAAACAACAGTTGGTCGTGTACAACCAGCTAGTGTTAGAGTGTACTCATATTATAATACAGGTATGGTTATATCACTTGCTTCTCATAAATCACTGACCATAGCCAACAGATGGCGTTGCCGTGTTGCCGTCAGTTCAGACGTGATTTAACGCTATTAAATGTAAACATGACGTAGACCTATATGTTATGGCTTCGAAAGCATTATTTTTTAATATTATTGTAAATTTTACTCAAATATTGGAATTTTTCAACAATTTACGGAAGCATTGCTAAATACTTTCCTACTGCACCGGGTCAATCATGATGATAAATCTGAAATATAATAATGCCAAAGGCACTCCTGCTCCTGTACTTTTACTGATAAAGCCGTGATGAAATATTTACAAGAATGAATTAAAAATGACTTTACAAAAATGATTATAGATTAAATGACATTTATATCAAACCTAATTTCAAATTCAGAAATAATAAAGATTGTTTGTTCAAATAAATACTGTCATGACAAGCTTTGAAGCAATTTAAATATTTTGTATAATAAAAAATGTCTTAAAAGTCTCGTAAAATGTTTTGATTATAATGATATTGGTTCGTTTTGTTTTTAGAAAAAAGTGCAATGAAATTCTATCTACCTAACGTGCTGAAAAAGAACTATATATGTGATTTCTGTGGTATTGAATGCGGGTGTGGCTTTGATCCAGAGGCTGTTCCAATGGTTAGTCTTCCCTTCGAACAATAATTTTACTTTAACACTAGTTTTTTCATCCTTGCATGGACATAGTAATCCAGCTGCAGATTAGTTTGCAATAATCCTCTTTTTAACTTTTCAGAGTGGTTTTACACATTAAGATCAAGATTAGATAAATGGAGTGACGCCTAGAGTATTGCTCTGCCTTAAATGTGCATACTCTCCCGAGAATAAAACAACCAATCTTTATTCTGAGAATATTTAATGTGATATTACTTAATTTAAATATATTTTATGTCGGACATTTTGCTTCAACATAATTACGTGTATATCAATACAAAGACAAATATCAAAATACAATAATGATCCAAAAGCATAAATGGCTTTTCCTAAAATATTGCTGACACATCTTAAAATTTAAGTATAACTGGTTTCTTATGGTTAATAGTGTGCAGTTGATACAAATATCTGCCTCTCTATCAAAGAATCGTGGGTTCGTATCCTGGGAATTACATTCTGATTACTCAAATGACATATTTATTTTCATAGCGTTCTAGTACAATATCATAACAAACTAAATTATGCTTTAGGATGTTCCTGTAATGCCAGGCTTAATGTTATCATATAAGTTTAGAATCATATACTTAGTATTTTATTTCAATTGACCGATACCATATGATTACCTTTGAAAAAGCATTATGTCAATGATTAATGTTGTTAATCAACCTATGCCTACCAAGTACAGTTTATTTTGTGACTATCCCATTACAATCATTCTTATTTTGTAGGAAAGATGTACTGGAATAATGAGTAACTACCGATCAATCACACGACCATTAGCAATGTACCCCGGACAAAACTCTGTCTATGAAAAGACGGTCGTCTATCCGGGACAAACCTCCTCATCCTCTTCTTCAGTGTCACGTCAAACGGTAATTACTCCGGGCGAATCTCCCATGTCAAGTGAAACGGCGGCCATTTATCCTGGCATGAGGTCAGTGTCAAGGTCGTCTTCCTCGTTCCTGGACAATAACAGAATTATTTACCCAGCAGTACCCAATACGGAAGTACATCGTGTTATTCAGCCTATAGGGGGTGCATCTTCTGTAAGGACCATACACAGGCAGAGACTTCAACCTAACCGATGGCATCGGGGTCAGACCATACCAGTTTCGTTCAGTAGGACGACCAAGTTAAAGGAGTCGTTCCCAACTCTTATCAACTCGTTTCCTACAATCTCTAGAAGCTGGCACGTGAATAGAACTTAGGTATGGCAAATCAAATAAGGAAACTCAGTTTTGTGCATCTATACACAGGTCTTTTGGCCTGAACATTAACAATGTACTAAAGGGTTGTTTTCTTTTATCTCCGTATTATATTTAGTAGGTTTATAGAAGCTGATGACATTTTATCTTTATACAAATGTATAACTAGTGCAACTCAAATACCTGTATGGATTCAGATTTGTTTTTTTTTAGAGTTTTTGATATGACTTATTTCGTTTAAAGTTATTACATAATCTTATTTAGCAGTAAAAGTCGCAAAATTTCATATGAATATAAACAATTGATTGTGTGACACGTAATATTCCAGTAAAGTATTCGTGAAAATATATTCTGATTTTTTAAATATATTTATTTCAGAGTGTATTAGTATGACAAACCGTTATATTTGACGCCAATGAAGGAGTGGAAAAATGATAGATTTTTGTGTATATTGCTTGAAAGGCCATGCATATGCTTTGTCGGATTGTGACGTTTATAAAAATGTTGACATTTAAATATATTATGTGAATCAAAACAATATATTATACATTAAACCTGTTGAAAAAAATCCAGCTTTTTCGTTTACTTTAAATCAATACACGACAAGATAACAAGATATGGTTTTCCGAGAAACCGACACAAAGGACACATCTTTTTTAGGAATAATTATTTTCCAGAGAGTAAATATAGACCGGCGCTACTGTATTTCATAATAGAATTAAATGTCACGTGTTACTTAGAATAAACACTGCTAGAAAAATGACAAGATAAATTAATTCAATTACTATAACCAAAAAGCAACAATTTTCGGGGGGGGGGGGAGAAGTTGGGTATAATTTTATGAATCTATCATTTCTAGATGAGCGTTAATTTAGTAGGCAGTTGGTAGTTGGATATTCGAATAACTAACTAACTCCATACTAGGTGGTAATTGGTTATTCGTAATTCCCAAATACATTGTATTCAACGGCTGGTAGTTGGTATTTCAGTCCGCTATCACCAGCATGAAAAGATTTTGGGATTCGCGCGAAAAACCAACTGAGTCTTCTGATGGATGTATGAGGGAGGGGATGTTGCTATGCTGAAGAAAACACCTATCTTATTATATATCCGTTACATTTGCTCTAGTAAAGTGGTCATAGGGAGACCGGTGTGCTTCCTTGTAGAGTTCAACTATCTTGTCATATATCCGGGGGGGGGGGGGGGCATGCAAAGTTCGAGTAAACAACTACCCTCTGGTTGGTAGCTGGGGGTTACATACGAATAACCGGCCAGATACCCTCCTTTATTCTGTGTTTGAAAAATGTAAGATATTTTCTAATATTTCATGCTGGTGATAGTGTATTGAATTACCAACCACCATCTGTAAATTATTGGGAATTACGAATAACCATCTAGTAGCATCTCTGAAACCGCACTTGCAAAATAACCAGTCTTCGCATAAATAAATAAAACCTGGTAACCAACAAATATATATTGACAATTTCACAGAGAAGAACAAGTTAAATGTTGATGCTGCACATCAAAGACGCCGCCAAATGATGTGAACAGTCAATCAGCATTGAAAAACGTTCTCTATTACAGTTGAATATCCGAAGCACAAATCAATTTTTTCTCCATGTTCTTGGTATGTGCTCGTTGTTTAATAATAAAGTTGCATATTTTTGTGCAAAAGGAGAACCTTATCCTAAATTCACAAAATAATGCCAGGTCTGAAATTCTTAAATGTTTGTCTGTTGCGACAAAGACTTAAACGTCTGGTCGAATCAAAATAAATTGGCTAACAAATAAAATTGAAATGATTGGTATACTTGAAATAAATTCAAGACAATATGTGCCGAGAATATACCCATTTAAATGTTGGTATGAATTGCATAATGTTCGAATGATTTCGAGTACAAACTGTTCTGCAGTGATCTCCCCTTACAGGCCGTAGCCTAACCGGTTTGTTGTACTTTCTTAACGGTTGAGTGAGAACCAGAGAACCGCCTCTCTGATAGTGGGCGTGGTTTAGGCTTTGTAACTTGTAATTTAATAATTCGACAAGTGATATTGATCACAGTTGTCATGGTCCCCTTCTACCCCGTCAACGAAGACTAAATGCTAGCATATGGAGCATAATATCAAATTTAATATGGACAATTTAAGGCGGAGCCGAACTTCAACAGAGGCGAAGCAAATGAAGTAAGTGACACTGCCTCAGTTGTCACCTCTCTCAACGGTTAAGTTTTAGAACGGTCGACTATAGACTGGCTCATTTGCACGTTATTTATTATGTAGATAAAATTGGATAATGATAAAAAGAATATAATATTCAAACATGGCACTATCACTTCAGTTAAATGTGTATTCTATCCCTTAAAGCTCTGTGACATGTTGTACATCATAAAAGCTATTTTTATTAGAAAATTTAAAAACATTGTGATTTTGTTGAAACAAAAAAAAAACACAAAATCAAGTCTAAAAGTTTCCCAATTGCTGTATGGACAAATGCATATCTACTTGACGCCGCTTGCAACTAGACGCCGCTTGCAAGCGGCGTCTAACAATAAAACAAAATCATTTAGTATAAAAATCACTTTATTTGCCTGTCAAAATAAAAACTCCATTTTCCTACAAAAAGTTAATAAAAACATGTGAAATAAAATCAGACAAAAAACTATCTAAATACAAATAGTACATTTACACGAAAACACATTAAAACATTCATATATTTAACATAAAAGATTTCATGACATGATGATAGATAAAATATACTCAGTTGGAAAAGAAAGTGTGCCCTTGGTTACTGGGACACTCTTTATACTAATTTAAGCAAAGTATTGGCATTATTTGGCATCAAAATTAGCAGAAATGTATTGACTACACGATGGATTAAATTTTATTGAAATTTGATTTTTTCTTTCTCTCCGAATAGTACGTGTTAACAGCTGAGGGATAAAAAAGTAAAAGTTGCAGAATAGTGCCTTTTTTAAAAGCAGTATTGTGCATTTGGATACTTGTATTTTTGCCTGGAACACAATTCAAACCCAAGTCCATATGGCGTTGTGTCTGTACCATACAGTCCCAAACATTTTCGTTGATTCATAGCTAAGATTAGCAAAACAGATACTGCAATTCTGCAACTTTGACTTTTTACCCTTCCGCTTTTTTCACGAAACTAAATAATTATCTGACTATCAAATTTCAGTACAAATTAAACCATTGTATTATCAATACATTTCTGCAAATTTAAAACCAAATTTGCCACTACTTTGCTTTTGTATGTAAACAGATTTTTAAAATAACTAACTGCACACTTTCTTTTTCAACTAAATACATAGATATGTATAAATATGGACTAAACAGAATCAAAATGCCACCCTGACAATCTTTAATATGTGATTAATAAATTGGAATTAACATACAGCACATGTAGGAAAACTATTCTTTCATATTTTTGAAGTGTTAGATATATTAACGGTGTGATATATTTGGATTTATCATGATTTGAGACAATGGTTTCTTATGGATTGTTACTTTAGGTTATGATTTAGCTGGAATGTCGATTTTAGGATTGTAATAAGCTAGTGGAATGCTGAATTAACAATGATATATGTGATGAAATACTGATTTTACAATGATTTAGATTGAAGTTGTTATGGGAATGGTTTTATATAAATGTTGATTGAAAAAATGCTTTTAGGTGAATATTGATTTTACAATGGTTTTCAAAGGTTTAGTGTTAGTTCAAGAATGCTTTTCGGTGAATATCTATTTATAGAATGACTGAAGGTTATTTTCGTATAGATAATCATGGGGGATGTTGTTAATTAGTTACATATTGATTAGATACTAAATGAAATATTGTTTTTAAAATGTTTGAAAAAATAAGTAATATGTTTAACTAGTGTGGATCATTTATCATTTTCGGTGCATTTTAAATATTTATCTTTAAATTTGTAGGATAGTTAATTTTCAAATAAGATTATTTGGTTCTGATTCGAGTCACATGGCTCTGATAAATTCGTTTGATGACTCTCTAGCTTTGCAAGGGTATGACAATTTCGGGTGCCCCTTTGTGCATTATTTTAGGGACGAACGGGTTCGTGAGTATAACCTCTGGTCTCAGAAAGCTAGCTGGGTGTAGGAATCTAGAGTCAATTAAGGGACTCAATCTCTAGCCGGAGATGGACAAGTGGTTAAAAGCCGTCAACTTTAAGGGTCATGGAGGGTCATAGAAAGCATATGACGTCACTATAGAATAAACTTACAATACATTGGTTACACTTGTAAATGAAAAAAATAATACTATTATTACATAAAATGACTACTGATAAATATGTACTGTACATATAAACACAACAATATATTCTGACCAGCGCACAGCACTGAAATTAATAGTCAACAAGAGTTAACTTTCCCTGGCATTACGTCATAAGTAAACCGCTTCATATGGATTACCATTGCACATCATTTATAGTAACAGAAAGTCTGCTAAATGTAAGTTTTAAGGAGAGTTGTTGTCTTTTTTTGTTTTCGCTGACGTGTAAAAAAAATACAAATGCATGTTGGAAATCTTCATGTTAAGAGACAAGTCGGCAAGAAATTAAAAAGCTGTGGAATAATTCTTTTCCAAATTAATTTAGTATGAGAATTCATTTAGTAGTTACTAAAATAATTAAACTGAGAACTTTTTGCTAAATTAAAAATTGGACAGAACAATTTGTTTCAATTTAGCTGCCTAAGTACATGTAATTGTACTTAACTGGATAGTCTACGAGTCAAAAATACATGTATATCAATTTTTCAAAAATACGTGTATATAAAACATATAACAACAGTTCAATACATTATATTATATATTATTATATACACAACTAATGGTTTAATCAAATGCACACATTATGAAGGTTTAGTTCAAAGCAAGAAAACATCTAAACATAACGGTTCTAAAGCAGATTGGTTCAATACCGCTAATTTATGAATATATTTACATTAATCTTATTCATGGGTAAATGCTGTATGGAAAAAGACACATTGGAACTAATTTGCATGAATCTAATCCACGTAAAAAAGGCGTTTTCAAATGAACATTAAAAATGGTTGGTAGTTTAAAATAACTTATGTTTGGTGACATCATAAGTGTTTTAATATTACATGTACGAATAAAAATGATACTAAATTCAAGTCTTATTCTGTACAAAGTACACTAAAACGTGTTACGAATTCATAGCAACTATTTTAAATCGACATTTAATTCACACATTTCAAATGACTACTATGAATAATACAATATTTATGGGAATATTGTAAAATTAAATGATTTTATGGGAGAGAAACTTATCTGAAAATATTTAACATTCAGTATTTTGGGGGAGATTACTTAAAAGGATTTCACGACTTGAATTCCATGGAAAATCAATTGAAGATAAATAAATTTTCCCTTTGAAAGCAACTAATGTATGAGGCATTATGCTATAAAGTAATCAAATATTGTATCTTCACATAAATGGCTCAAACAATAAGCCAGAAGGTTGTTTGGCTTGCCTATGAAGCAATATTAAGTTCTATGTTTTGCCGCACAAAATGCTATATGGACAATATCGTGTATGGAATTCATGTTTTATTACAAAAGAAAGAAAATACTCTTGAAAAGTATAGATCTAAATAATTTACCAACAATGCTTTGAATACAGTAACTCCAATATTATGAAAACATAAATATACAATCACAAATAAAACATATATGAAATCTTTTTGTGAATATAAACTTTTGGAATTCATTACAATAAATATATACAAATAAATGCAATCTTTTCAATAAAATGAGATCGATTGACAAACGATAAAAAATATCAACATTATGTCAGCATAATATCAACATTCTATTTTTAGAGCATCATGATCATATAAAGGGATTGACTGAAAACAAGCGTTTAATCATTTGGACGCTTTTGGAATTATAATGGATCATTAATATTATGCATACATTATAAAAAATTCATAAACAATGAAGGTAAGCACACCTGTGGTAACTTACAAAACATGTTTTCAATTTCTAAGTTTAACATTCTTTCAAGATGAGCTTGCCCTTTCTATATTTCGGAACGGAAATGACGAAACGTATTTGTTACATGATGGAAAATCATTTTCAGAAAAGGTAGTGGCATAAAACATTTTTACATGTATAACATAATACGTCAAATTTTCAAGTTGACAGATGTAATATAAATTAATGTGGATGTAGCACATATTCTTGTAGATAATTAGTATTAACAAAATGATACTATTTCCGAATAAAAAATCTTGTAAAACTATTCAGTAACTACTTTTTTCTGTTTCTTTGAGGTGTAAATATATGAATACAATTTGTATGTTAGTACACTCCTTTAACAAAACATTGAGTTACTCCCCCTTGTGTATATGCCTAAAAGAAATATATCAAATAAAGAAAACATAAAAAGGTGATAAATAGAAATTTCTATAAAAGGAACTCAATGAAAGTTTAAAATAACAACAACAATAATAATAAAATATGGAATATAGAATTAAAGACATAAAATAGTTTTCCTTGAATGAGTAAAGGTTTATAATTTGACTTAATCATCTAAAACTAGACTAGTATTTAAATTACTATTTGATATGTTACTGTTTGAATCTGTTGTCAATTTAATGTCATCTTGGTAAGTTTTCGGTTCATGATCGTACAGTTTTGGATCATCAGCAAACACTATAGAACGGTCATCTAGTGGATTTTCCTCGTCATGGCTGTGATTCTCGTTGTCCTCGAGAAGATGGTGGTCGTCATGGGATACAGATGTCATGACGTCACCATTTTGTGAGCTGTGAGATGTCGTCCTCTTGTGCGCTTTTGGAAGGTTTCTCAGGGAAACATCCATGTTTTTAAACGCATTTAAGAGAAATATTCCACAACATATAACCATAAAGCCTATGATTGCTCCAATAATGTCTTCTGTGCTCATAGTTCCGAATTCTTTGAACATGACCAAAGAGAACATCACAGCGCATGACGTAAATAATACGTAATAAGTGGGCGTGACTATCGCTGTGTTAAAAGTGTCAAGAGACTTGTTGAGGTAAACAAGCTCAACTAAGCTACAAGCAATCACAATTCCCGCCATAACATAGGTTAGAAAGTTTGTGAACTCGTTTCTTCCATTTATGGTCTCCTTAATGGCAACACCAAAGCCCTTGGCCCCCATGACCGTGAACGACCCGAGGGTCGAGCATACTGTGACGTACACAAGCACATTCTTTTGTCCGTATTTTGGAGCAAGGAAAATAACTGACACTAAAGCTATAGCAATGAGTGCTACGGACAGAATAATAATTCCTGAAAATAAAAAACGCAAAAATTGACTATAAAATTAAATGAAATATATATTAAATCTACATAAATCCAAATTGATCATTTATGGTACAAATAATGCTAACATTTTTACGAAAGACGAGTATGAACTAATTGTAATAAGAATAAATTTTCCGAGACGAACATACAAATAATAACCTAGTGGACCTAGTGTCCACACCTTCAAATAAATACTTCTTCATTCAATAAGTTAATTAATATTAAGAATATCTGAGGTAAGCTTTTAAACACCTTAATAGAATAATGGTCTACAATGGAAGGTTTATAATATAATAAATAATCACATAGATAGTATTTAATATAAAAACATAACAACAAATCACGAAAGAATCATTATATATATATATATTATATATATATATATATATATATATATATAATATAATATATATATATATATATATATATATATATATATATATATATATATATATATATATATATATATATATATATATGTATATTATTGGTAAGTGTGAGATACATGACAATATTACACATTTTATAATACTGCACGTTTGTAACGTCACTTTTCATTGGATAATCATGACGTTTATATAGTTTTATATACACGGCTGTAGTCAATTTATAAAGAATTCTCACTTTTTTCTCTGAAAAAGGAAGTTTGCAGTATTATGAATTCGTTACAAAGATTGTTGACAGGTCAAATGGCCGAATATAAACGGTTGTTTGCAATATAACCCTCACCTTTCGGCTCGGGTTATATATACAAACAACCGTTTATATAGGGCCATATAACCTGTCAACAATCTTTATAACTAATAATATAACAGATAATGGTTCTAGAACAAAATATTATTATTCATCATATAAATGTTCATACTAAATCACTAAGAATTTTGTCAACATTTTTTTTCAAGCAGTATTTTATAAGAATATCCATACGATACATTTATATTGTTTTTATCAATATCTGAAATATTTATGGAAAATGTGCCCATTTTAGACCAATCCACTTTACTAATTGATTTATTATAAGAATCAGGTTAAAGCAAAATAAACGTAGTCTTCCTAGATGTAATGTATATATGAGCCACGCCATGACAAAACCAACATAATGCGTTCGCGACCAGCATGGATCCGCGCAGTCTGATCAGGACCCATGCTGTTCGCTTACAAACCGTATAACAAGTAGAGAAACTGATGCGCAGGCTGGTCTGGATCCATTCTGGTCGCAAACCCATTATGTTGGTTTTGCCGTGACGCGGCTCATATATATTAAACGAACAAACCTGGCTCAAGCAGACGGTCTAGCAGGTCTTCCATGGTTTGAATCTCTTGCTCTACCGGAGAGTGGACGACTATGAGGGTTGACCCGAGAACACACAACATGCAGCCGAGTTTGCCTAACAGGTTGAGTTTCTCCTTCAAGAAGTAGGACGCCATCATTGCGCTATAAACAAATATAATATTGAAATGAAAACATCTTGGTTACCAAGTGCTAATTATTCTTACGAAGATAATCCGTTTTCTTGAAACGTGACAAACGTGCAAAATTTCTACCGGAAGTGGTCGCATGTAATCGTTACAGACAAAGAAGACAATTATTAACACTGAGGATACAAAATATGTGACATTTTGATATAAACGTCGACTTTCAAATGTTGACTAATTAAAATTTAGTTTTTACTTAGATGCGTAAATATCTTATACAAGAATCCGTCCACTTATTAACTAGCCTTCCATGCATGTAAGTGTTGCACTAAAATGCATTTTTTTACAATCTCTTAGATAGATTAACATTGATTTAATGGTACAAGACAACTAAAGCATATACGATAGTAAGATAAGTTGGATAATCACATATGAGATATCTTTACATATGAGATGTAAAAACTAAGTATGTATTGTTTACTTCTATATATGAAGTCTTCCAAGCTGTTACAAGCATATCATGTTATTTATATGTAAAACTATAATACATCTTAAATAAAAATGTAATATATCAAAAAAGGTCTAGATATACTATTGTATATAAACTCGTATGTACATTTCAATTTAAACAATATAGTTGATATTTGAATGCAATTACAATAATGTCGTACCTATAATAACAAGGTAACTGTACTGGTTAAAGCATTTGTGTTTGTTTTAATAATATATAAGTTATAATCATTTGTTGTTGTTTTTCTCTATTTTGTGTGTGTGATGTGTGTGTGTGGGGGGGGGGGGGGGGGGGGTTGCGTTGCGTTGTAGGTTGTTAGGTTGTTACTGCTGCTGAAAGGTTTTAAGACAAACGATATTATAAATGTTGCCTGACAAAGTTTTAGATTAATCAATTTCATGTTTAAATATGCTTAGAAATAAAGAAGTTAAAAAAAGAGTTATACTCATTGGTGAATACCTTGTACATACCTTGTTATTACACTGAGGGCTCCTAAGGGTGTGACTAGAGTTGCAGGGGCAAACAGGTATGCTAAAAAGTTCATTATCTCACCAACAATCACTGAAAAAGAGAGAGACCATACGTACATGCTAATACCGAGTGTTCATCAGTAGTTAATAGTTACAGGTTACATTACAAAATTATGTTTTTTTACAAAATGGTTTGATTTTCTTTTGCAGTCCTTCCAATGTTGGAAGGAAAGACATTATACAATATATTTCCATGTAATAAATATATCAATCTTCTATATAGAACATCTAGCAACTGTATATCATCAACAGGTAGACTTTATATATTTTGTATATATACATTGTCACAGAAAAATAAAACATAAGCTGTAGTTAGGGCTCGAAATCCGGATATACATTTTTACTACTATAACGACAGAGTAAAGCGGACAGATTGTCAGTGAAAAAAAAGTTTTCTTAAGTGCATGTAAAACAGATTATAAGTAAACTTTGGAAATAAGAAACATATGTTGTTCTCTATGCGTATTTATAATTATATGCACTGTTTTTTCCTCAAACATGCTTTATATCCCGGAAAACGTATGCTTTCATTGTTCACGAGTTTAAACAATTTAATCAGCCATAAAACACAGATTGTGTACATGATCAATTTGTACAGCTGCACGATATGCACGTGTATACTTACTTAATATCATTCCCATCCACCAGAGAAACTGTTTCAGGTAAGCGAAACCTCCGTCTCCTGTAAAAGTTATGATTTATATATAATTATTATTACAATGAAAGAACAAATACACTTAATAACAGATTTGTAGTCCAAAGAACAAATGTTATAGAGAAGTATTAAACTGCGAGAATGAGATGGTCTTACAAATTCTAGTATTAACAAAATATACATGTAAAGGGTTTCTGGTATCTGCTGCACAAATTAGGGTATTTTTTACCCTTAGTGGAGGAGATTTTGGTAAATTACCCTCTTCTTCAAGACTGTAAGTCACTTTGTATCCACGAGATAATTTTATTCTACCCTTATCTCACAATAGAAAAATTATAATTCAGTTGGTGATTAAAGATTTATGGAATTATTTTAAAGAAGTCAACATACATGTATCTGATAAAAAGTGCAGCATGGTGCGGTACACGACTAAGTTAAAGCTATACTATGCTCATTTATTAGTAAAATATTTAAAGCTAAAATCTATAAAAATCTATAAAATTCTTATTAAATATGTCTAATGTGAATAAAAGAATGAATAATCTATGTATGGGAAGCTGTGTTCCTTATTAAACGTCAAATGAAGTTGGTTTATCCTTTTGAAAACTGTTGGTTTTTTAATGACACTATATATTCATATTGTGACCACCTATAGTGTGTAGAATTTTAAGCATCACAGTCATATCTACTTTGCATGAAACCAAAACATGTTTATTTTATAGTAACAAAGAGACTGTGTAGCAATTATCAATATTTTCTAATATCAAAATTTTAATTTGAGCATAGTATATCTTTAAAGTAGCTCAAAAACGATATACATGTATAAGACACGAATGACTCGTGTTCTGAGTAGCAAAAAAAACAGGAATAATGTAAGACCTATTCACTATATACCGGTATGTTATATAAAGTGCAAATAGTTTATCAATATTTATATTCAAGAGATTTTCATTTAATAATATCTATAGAGATTAGAACATTTAATATTCTCGTATTGATCCGAAATCCCATAGATATAAACCAGTTCTCTTCTTTTTTCAGACCAAAAAGCTTTAACATAAATCTTTGAAGCATGTATTCAAATATTTAAGTTTCGATCTAGAGAAATTTCAAGTTTGACAAATGCCTTGATCTAATGTCCTACTTAATCATGAAATAACCTATGGCATATAAATACACGTTAGACAGTAAGCAGGGAGCTACACATCATTTTGTTGATGTCAGTACTGGTAGTTGGTTTTACCACCACCACCATCATCATCATCATCAACAACAACAACAACCACAACAACAACAACAGCAGCAACAACAACAACATCATCATCAACATCATTATCATTATAATCATCACCATCATGATAAGTATTGTATTATTTATATCATTATCATCATTGGTATCATCATCAACATCATCATTATTATAATCATCATCATCATGTTTAAAATCGTATAATTTCTTATCATTATTACCTTTGTTGTTATCATTTTTTATCATCTATGGTACACAACATTGGCAGGGGACATAACATGTTAGAATATATAGTACGGTGAGAATAAAATAAATTTAAAAAAAAGTTCAATTTTTTTCATTTTGTCGGAATTTTCACTGATGCAAAAACACACACAAAAATGAAATAAAAGTACTAATGAAGACCGGACTGTCCCTTATAAAAGAGCAGATTGTCCCATATAAAGGAGCGGATTGTCCCATATAAAAGAGCGGTCTGTCCCAAATAAAAATGCATGCACTATATGAATCTAATTCTTCTCTGAAATTCAAAATATTTATTAATCAAACCTACCGGCACGTGAGCCCTTTTGAGAGGCATTAAGGAGTCCCTTCTTTTTCAATATAAAACTACTTCCGGTAAAGCACGCGGAAGTTATTGCAAGCGCCAGACCGATCCAGAATTCTCTAAGGGCTTCTTCTCGTGGCATATGAGTCCATAATGTCGTTGTTGATATGTTTTCTGTAGTATTTATAGGCAACATTGGCGTTGTTGTAAGAGGTGTAGACATGGTTGTGTTTGTCGCCATTTTCGTTGTCTTTGGTGATTATCTTTATTATTGTCTGAAATATAAAAGATAGTATATGAATAATAGAGTTCTCCAATTTGGGTTAATATAATATACATGTAGATTGAAAGAGCTTGAAACTATAGATATCTAAATGTATATACATGAATTGTTTTTCTCCGTTATGAACAGGATGCATGTTTGGTACCCGGTGCTAATACAAGGGTGTGAGATATCTTTTTTCTGGTGTTTTGGTCGCAAACAATATTTCTAAGACCACTCGTCCTCGTCCAGTGCCATTTTCTAATGCTAAACAATTACAGTCCTTTGGAGGAAACAAGTTAGGAAAAGAGACAAATTCATGAACAATGGATGGATTTACTAATTAGATATTGCCGTAAAGTAAGGACTAGACACACTGTTATAAACATGCACGTATTATCTTAATTTTCCTTTACATCATTTACAAGTACATTGCTCATATTTTTAGTAAATAAAATATTAATTTCACCTGGACTTGAACCAAAGTGTAATACAGTAAGTTCATACTAAACTTTTATAACCTATTGTTGCAATCTCGTATCATATATCAACAGACGCTATAAATGGTTATATAATTTGATATAGACTATCAAATACGGCGACAGGAAGAACGATAAAAAGAGCGAATACACTGAAACCTTTGTGTGAAACAAAAAACATAACATTTTCTTTTGATAACATATACCCTATTCTATATGTATATGTGCTTTTAGGTCAGTGTGTCATTGTATACATAGAAAAATATACTATATATTTGGGTAAGTAGAATGTTCACGGTGTTAAATTGATTTTAATGAGGAACAAAAAATAGAATTCTATATATAATGTTTAGCATGCAAATTATGGCCTTAAGTTACAGGTGCGTCATAATTCATAATGTTCAACATATGGTGGCGACTTATTACAAAAAAAAATATTATAATGAGCTTTCAAAAAGTATCCCCAATTTTATTTTAGCAATTTCTATTAACAAGGACATTTATTAGTCAGGTACAAATAATTGTTCATTACTTAAATATTTCAATTAAGACAATGGTTGCTATTGGAAGTTTCGTACACGTCATAGAAGAATAATTTATTCTAAAGGCGCGAAATGCCTCAGAAATCCATACTTTTTAGTTCTTAAGAAATATCAATCCTTTGTTTAATGATGTTTTAATAATGAATTGAGAGCATGTTACAAGAAAGTAGCATTGAATGGGCAATAACGTGTCTTAAAAGTAGCAAAATGTTAACAAAGTGGTATTTTGACTTTCATACAAAATACTTATACACTATAATTATACCAATAGCTGGCAGAGTAAAATTAGAAAAAGATTGTTTATGTATATGAGTATTTTCTTTTCGGAAACTGTAACAAAAATACCAAAGAAAAAAAAAGATTTTGAGAACTAAAATTGATAGTTTTTCTTAGGCACAATGGGCCTTTAATGTGTTTTATGACGAACATCGTAATGCTATGGCAAGATAACCGAATGTTAACCCAATATTTAAAGAAAGTAATTCCTTTAAAATTCCAAATCAATTTAAAAAGTGGTCAAAAAGTCAAGTTCTCCACCTATTGGTTTTATCGTTTTATGACAAGGTCGGAGAGCTTGTGATCTTTTCACAACAATACATAAAAGACAGTACCATACAAAGTAAATTCATTTCCTGAACAATGTATGACATGGAATAAAATCGTTATTTTATGGATTTTGAAATATAATACAAAGTGAAAAGACTCTAGTATCGGAAGGTTGTGAAGAACGCCTGCAGACTTTGTATTGATTTCATCAGATTGTTTTCTGTACAGAAAAGGGTGGCATTAAGCCATGCGTTCTTAATGATAACAATAAAACAATCAAAATTATATTCCTGGTTCACTTGGAAATAAAATGATTTTTTCTACGGTATAATCAAGTCTTATTCTTAGCAAACATCATGATTTTGTTGTTGCTGTTGTTGTTTGGTTGTTTTAATGTCTGTATATATTCTTATGTTTAGAGTTAAGAAATATTTTGTCACATATACTATCATACATCGGCGGTTACCTGTTACCTGGCTTAAAATTATATTAGCAGTGTAGTGACATATCCCCACAAGAACATTGCAACTTCTTTCTAAAAAGCAGTGAAGTGTCTCGTATAAGAAAATAAGTCACATATGGGTATCGAAATAGGGTCAATATCATATCATAAAAAAATACTTTTTTGTACATGCATTGACCTCCTCACTGTTAAACCGTACCTCCAGAAAAAAAAAGACATTACGAACACCAAAAATATTAAACTTTAACCATATTGTGAATAGAAGTAATCTGTTGTTGGCCTTAATTTTGGATTGTTGTTTCATAAATACAAGTTGAATCTCAGTTGATTTAATATATGTAGATCTTCTAATCGAGCCAGTAAGGTTGATTTTTTATTAAAATCAAATTGTTTCAATATTCACGTTGTAAACAATGAGTCATCATAAAAAATATGATACGATATTTTGTGACTTGATATTAACCAACCTTAGTATCCACATCTGTCAACAAAAGACATTTTGAATTTTGTGTTTGTGTAAAAAAATAATTCAAAGATTATTCTCTAAAAACAAGCTTTTACGAAGTTAAATTTTTGCTCGTTATATTACCGTTTTGCTAGGATGAGTTGAATGCGTGCATGTACTATAGTTTGATGACCTTTGTGGTACTATATCCATTTAATTATTTATTCTTCAGCCAGCCAGCTGGTGGCAACATATTGTACACATCTGACTAGTGCATGTCAAGATCAGCCTTCAGTTGGTACTTATTTTTAATTTCTAAATTGATAATCAGAGATGGTGACTGGTTGGACGATGAACATAAGTCTATTTAAATATTTAGTATGGTGGGGGTTTAAAACAAATACGCTCGTATCATACACCTAGCATTGTTTGATATACGTTTCCTACTTTCATAAGATATTATAACTAAATATATTAAGTTTGTAGGCTAATTTTGATGACCAATAATGGGTCATGTTCCGTATCCAAAAAGTGTGATATGAGTTGTTTTGATCAATTTCAAGGAAAGAATTCCCAATTTAAAGACAAGAAAATTAAAACAAAATGATTTTATGGTCATTTTGTGACGTTTTAAATGCACTGTATTACAGCAAATTGTATTTTGTTTTCACCCATAATTTCAAAACGTGAAATCTAATAAAAGGATTTGAACGATCAAATATTTTTTTTGGCTAATTTGGTAAATTTGAATATTTTAAACAGTTCGGCGAGTCTCAATTTTGTCTAAATTGTTTCCAATTCAGAGGGTAAAAAAGTCATGTTCCCGAAATTGTGACGGGCCGTGAGTTAAAAACCATGTTGTCTGTTACCAAATCAACAGCAGTCATTACAAAACCAAAGACAAACACTCTTATTGATTCGAAGGTCTTGCCTGGAAGCTCTTAAAGTTCATGGGGTACCTGAATCAATATTAGATATCGGGACACATCATGCAGGAGTTACAATCGATAGCGTTACGAAATGTATCCCGTTACCCGAGTTACTTGTGTCTATATATGCAATGTAAGGTTTGTTACGGTGTACCGTCAGTAAACAAATACTGGCGTAACAGTATTGGAAACCTTGATTTTGAACTTTGATTATTTCAAAACTGATCGGCTCTTTCATTTCCAAATATAAACCGTGTTGCTTAGACAAAGCTTCAAGTACAAGGTTAAAAGTGCCAGGTTACAGTTGAAAATAATCTTATATCAAATACATATACAAATATCATAAATACATGCCAATGTGGGTGTTACAAAAGGAGCGTTCAAGCACGTATATCTAAAATATTTTAACATTTATTTTTTTACAAACTGCCTATGTATTGTAATAAATTATCATTTTCACAAGATACTTCATATTAACGCGTCACACTGAGTAAATTCAAAATACAAATGTATGTCATCTCTATGTTTGACATCGATCTTGATTTCTTTCTCACTTTTATATCTTGATTACACCACATTGTAGTTTTATATACCTTACAATATTTGTTAAAAGTATGGTACCTGGCGCATGATTCTAAATTATGAGCTAATGATAGAAATAAAAACTAGATACGGGACTAAAATAGTATTGTTTATATGATTCATTGGTGTGTCTTACTCATTAGGTTGGTTACATATATCATACGGAAACAGCAAATGAAGTCATGCCGTTTACAGTATAAACACCGACCTTCTCCCTTGAAAACCGAAATTTCAAGAAAAAAAAGAGGCATTTTGAACACAAAAGTATTGGATTTTATCATTTTTGCAAAACGTTATGATACAGTCCCTAATTTTGCATTGTTATTTCGGGAAAAACAAGGGAAAATGCGACAGAAATGTTCTGAAAATACATGTAAATATCTTTTCATGAAAAATGCGGTAACAATAAAACGTGTCATTCTTCAATGTCAAACGGAGAGATTTCTAAGTTATTTTTGTTTCTAATTTCCAAAATCGGAAAATAAATAAATATCATGCCTGAAACAAACGCGCCGCTTCACGATTGGGAGACTGGGCCGGGTGCTAGGACAGGGGTGTTGGGGCGGAGGGGCTACGTAGTGTTTAACTTGTTGAGGAAGGAACTGGGTTACACAGTGTTTTATTGCTGGGGGGAGATTTCATTATAACAGCTAGTTTCTGTTATACATTTATATCAACATATACCTGATGGCCGTTATTTGATCCTATATATTAAAATGATCTACATTGACAAATTAGCCTATCCTCGCATTTATACATCCCACGGTCACCGAGGCTCACCGTCAAATATTTTATATACTTAGCACATTATAAATGATAATGTTTGTAGATTTGTGATGTACATGTATGTGGAGTATTTACATTTGGTTATCCCGACCTGACTCATTCGTTACACATGTAAATTTATCACAAGTTAATCGGTGATTAACCATTGTATTTAAGGATGGCCAGCGTGTATCTTTAGCTTGATAAAATATTTAAAGAAACAGGGAAGTAAGTTTCTTGTTATCATATCGTGTTATCATACTCTTAATTGAACATGCGTGTTAAGATATTTTAGGTTTACATTAGATATTTATCTAATGCTATGTAAAAAGATTTTTGCCGATGTAAAACTTTTCATGTAAATTGGCTCAAATAACATTTATTCTAATACATCGTGTTAGATATCGTCTTGAACTGATTCACAAACCAAAACTTATTTGTTTAAAAAAAGCAGGTACATACATGTAAGGTTTATTTTTATGTTAATATATTTACTTATCAATTTTTCATACCATCGGCTAATTTAAACGCACTGATGACTTTTTGGATATCAAGTAAGTGAGAGAGAAAAAATCGTATAAATGAAAAGGTATTTACATTTGACCTATAATCTCGTTAAGTCATCTTATAATCGGCCTGTTGCATAATAATGGCCTTACGGGCTATAAACATTCTGTAAGGAATACAAATTCCTTGCGATTGCCCTTATTTCGTGAAAAATCATTTTACCTATCCTCAATGGGAAGGTTTCTTTTTAAAAGACATTTTTCAGTAAAAAGTCACACTATGCATGTGTAGTATACTTATCAATGGTGGGTGTACTATTTCAATATTTACATTACATTTGGGTATATGTTCACCGAAGCGAGATAAAATATTCCTTTCAAACTAACGTTATTAGTTATTCATAAAAGTCAGGCTTGAGTAATTAGAACAAACGGGTATGGAATTGGTACTTAAATCCATTGGAAGTCAGCCAAAGTAACTGATCAAATTTGCATGATTGTAATGGATGGAAATGCAATATTGAATTTAGGGATCTAATAACTCTTGATACTAACGTGCAACCTTGAATTATATATGGATTGCACGTGCTTTAATGTAGGCAGGCTATTTGAAAAAGAACCGTATAATTATGCAATGAAGTCTGAGGTCATTTTATGTGACATTTATAATTACTGTCATAATCGCCCGAGAATAAACGTTAATCTGTTTCAATTTGTATGGTCAGGTACTGACTACTTACTATACACAATTTAAGCACCTCAATTTCAAATTTTGATGACGATAACTTGATTGAGTGTAACTTTACAAAAGGCACATTATGCCTCAGATATTCATATACATTTTTTTTAACTCTTAAGGAATGTCAAACATTTGTTCAATAATGCTTTAATAAATGAAGAGAGCATTTAAGATGTTTAACAACTGAAGAAAGTATGGCTGAATGTGCAGTAATGTAATGTGTCGCAAAGGTAGCAAAATGTAAACGAAGTAGTATTTTGACTTCCGTGCAAAATACTAATTCACTATAATTATACCAATTGCAAAGTTAACAAAAGTAGCAAAATTTGGTAAACCAATATTTTTTTCGGAAACTGTGATAGGATACCAAAAATAAATCTTTTGAGAAATGAAATTGATAGCTTTTCTGGGGTATAATGAGCCTTTAATAAGATTGCTGAAGGTATACTGGTCTTGACCAACGTTCTGTTTAACATGGTAACAACAATATGCTACCATGTAGCAGCAAAAAAGGTTTGTTTCTTGTAGCAATCACTCTATTTCTGGCATCGTGCACTTCCCTTATAATATCACAGACACCACTTGATTGAAAAACAAAAATACCAACTCTAATAGTTTAAATGTGATGGAATTCGTACACTGATAAGTATTAATACATACATGATGTATGGTTATGCATTAAATACATTGAGACATAAATGTACTGTACATTTAAGTATACTGTACATTTAAGTATACTGTACATTTACCAAATTGTCTTAACTATCTATTAAAATCTAAAACTATACAAAAATACCTTATAACATTTTATGTATTATTACATACTAACTAGTATTTCCTTTGTTTGATTTTGAACTACATAATTATACGAGTCTGTAATGTAAAAGATGGTTTACGATAACAAATAATTTATATCTCACCTGCAGCAGTTTAAAGTACACATTTATTGTTATAAATCAAAATCATAAATCCATGAAATGTCACTTTGTGTACTTTCAAAGAAAAAAATGTTATCGTTTAATAAACTTCAGTAGTTTTTCTTTCTTTTTCTTATTCAACATAAAATCCACGCTGAATAGCGGTTATTAATAAATTCACAGTTAAGTCCAAGTAGTGATTATATATTATTTTCAATCGGAATAAAATCGTCCTATTTTAAATCGGAATCGAATTACAACTAGGACATTTTTACCTTTCGGTACTATAATTAAGTTGAAATATTTAAACTAACAATATTTTTCACGAATTACTAAGATCTCCCACACATTATTTGAAAATGTCTTTATGATATCCAGTCACCACAGAGTCAGTAAATAGTCCACATTACGGGTGTCATATGCAGGGAACCATGATAGGAATGTTTGAATACTTAAAATCGATATACAGTGTCATACAAAGCCAGTATGTTTTGAAATATTCGTATTAGTTTCGCACCTGGCGTATCGCTTTGTTTGACAATCTATTTTTAGAATTATACAGGTAAAGGTAGGTAATCGTGTAAGCGCTGTCATAGCGACCTTTTGTGCGATCTAAAAAGGCTTAATCAACGAAAAGAATTTGGAAATTATCAACAAGACGAGTCTTGCAGCAAACATATTATTTAACGTTATATAACAACATAAAGCCATATATAACGGTTACGCTTTTTCTCCTTAAGGCTGATTAATAATCCAAAAATAATCTTTTCGGCAGATTTTATCGCTGTTTATGCCCGTTTGAATAGCTTTAACATCGGTTTGGACATTTTATTATATCTGTATTTTTTACATGTAATTCAATCAACATTTTTGCATTTACAAATAAATACAGTTTATCCATTCTGTGAACTGTGCAATTTCTATAATAAAATAAAATGAAGATTTTCGTTGAAAAGAGATTCATTTGTTTATTTGGTGAATAAATTCATGTAATTTGAAGGACTTTCATTCTTTTCTTTCTTTTTTTGCAATATCAGAATTGTGTAACATACAATGTAATATGGAAACTATTATTATATCGAGAATGCATGAAATCTTGGAGACGTTACGTATTTCCAGAAGAAATAGAATACATGTTTAATGTTCAGATCGCTGTGCCCATGCGTTTTATTCATTTATCTAAAGGCACAGTCGAAAACCTGTACCAGAATTAAAGAGCACCCATTAATGTTAACAATACATATGCACATGTATAATAAAATTTATTTAATTCAGTTCAGCCAATAGTTCTTATTTAGTGATAAAAAAATTGAAAACTAACGAAATGTTACAACTGAAAAGAAGCTACAACGCATAACAAAACGAAGTGAAGGGAATAGCCACTTTGCCAGGACGAATGCAAATACTGTTTACCCAAATGTCTGTGGCAATTAATCTTTTATTATTTACAACACCCTCTCGTTAAAAATTATTCGTTCGTCAAATTTGAATAGAGCAATTTTCAACGTGTGAACAATATCAACGTTTCTTTGTCACGTTTTTATTACGTTTTACCTCAATATGCCTTTCAATAGACAGTATACGTTTTTTACTCTATTACCAATGATACAGTTTAAGGGGAAAATTGCTGATTTATCCTTGCAGAGAATAATCTCTTAACCCATTACTTCATGAGCATTTTGTGAAAAATGGCATTCATTGAAAAGTCTCCCGTTACAAGTTCAAATTGCTATAAAACTATAAAAACTGCTTCAATACTAATCAAACTTGGCACAAATCATTACTGGACCATTGCCTTTGCAATTATCTGTTACCATGGCAACGAGGGGACATCTCAAAATTGCCAAAAATCACTATTTTGCGTTGATATTTTCCATCAAAATTGATTTCAAAGTGCTGCAACTTCTCAATGGATTGAGATAGAGTCAAATGCTTTTCAGCGTTGGTTACACGTTACCTTAAGATCGATCTGGGGTCATTTTTAGCCTCTCACAAGTCCAAAATTTTCTTGGCGATGAGGTTGCCGCCCCCTTCAAACCCCCCAATCAGAAGGGGGCACATCCGCAACCCCCTGATGTATCTTTTGATTTGGGGGCCGCGCCGAAAAAAAGGTAACTTTTTTTAACAACATTTCTCAAACAAAAACAAGTGTTGGAGGCCTAAATAAGGCATTTTTTCACCATTTGAGACAACAAGAAAGGGTGGGGGTGAAAAAGGCGTTAAAAGGCGTGTATATCGCGTAATGGGTTAAAGGAACTCCACTGAGGCCCAAAAGACTAAAAACAATAAAATTTGATTTCTTACATAGATCAACTGGGCACTTATAACAGAAAGATAAACAAAAGATTATTTAGCAATATACACAGAAATGAATTAAACATCATATTGTATTCTTATTTTATTTCAATTATTCTAATTTTTTTTTGCTATTCCTTGCCCGATTTTAGTGAACAACATTGCAACACATTTCAGTGTAGACCTACATCAAATGGAACATTAACCCCGAAAAATTATTTATAGTCTTTATTATTCCATATTGAGAATTGTTTATCACCTTATTTCGCCGTGACATCTTGTGTCAGTTCCAGCACCGTGCCTTATATACAATAATTCTTTCTTATGAAAAATTAGTTCAGTCAAAGTTATTTTCTGCAAGGTGAAGGTGGTATGGTAGACAGACGATCAAATGTCCACGAGTTTTACGTTAAAATGTTGAATTCTGTTTAAGCCGGTGCTGGGGTTGGGTGAACGGTAGCGTCCTTTCTGACTATTAACCATGAACAGGCTCAATCAAATCGAGCCTGCAATATTTTCAATTTAGGTGTTTTGGTCGTACATTGTACTTTAAGGTTTCCATTATTGACTATTTGTTTTCTTACAAAATGACCTTTCCTCGTCTTATTAGAGGTATGATTATGCTCTCCGAAGGGTGAGCATACATAGTCGTCGCTTCTGTCCGTTCGTACGCTTTCTTGTCCGGGATATAACTCTGAAACTATAAGAGCTATCAACATGAAACTTTGTTTGTAGATTGATCTCATTGGGTAGAAGTGCGGTGCACAATAACCGTAACTCTGTCTTGCCTAATTTTCGCGTTATTGTCCTTTGTTTATTTTTACACTTTAAACATTGTCCGGGACATAACTCGGATACTATAAGAGATATCAGCATAAAACTTTGTAGGTAGATAAATCTCATAAGGTAGAAGTGCAGTGCAAAAGAACAACAACTGTACCTTATCTAATTTTCGAGTTAGTTCCCTTTCTTTATTTTTGCACTTTGAACTTTGTCCGGGACATAACTCTAAAACCATAAGAGATGTCAACGTGAATTTTTCTAGGTAGATATATCTCATTTGGGAAGAAAAAATGCAAAAAAAACCCCATAACTCTGGCTTGCCTTATTTTGGAGTTATTGGCCTTTGTTCATTTTTATACTTTGAACTTTGTCCGGGACATAACTCTGATACTATAAGAGATAACAACATGATTTTTTTTAGGTAGTTCGATCTCATTGGGTAAAAGTGCAGTGCAAAAGAACCATAACCTGCCTTGCTTAATTTTGGAGTTATTGCCCTTTGTTCATTTTTTCATTTTGTTTTTTTCCCGGACTTAGCTCTGAAACCATAAGAGGTATCAACATGAAACTTTGTAGGTAGATAGGTCCTATTGTGTAGAAGTGCAGTGCAAACGAACCGTAACTCTGTCTTGCTTAATTTTGGAGTTATTGCCCTTTGTTCATTTTTACTCTTTAAATATTGTCCAGGACATAGCTCTGAAAGTATAAGAGATATGAACAAGACACTTTATTGGTAGATAGATCTCATTGGGTAGAAGTGCAGTGCAAAAGAATCATAACTTATTTTGGAATAATTGCACTTTGAACTTTGTCCAGGATGTAATTCTGAAACTACAAGAGGTATACTTTTCTGTGTCCAAAACTTATTCGGGGACAACCGGTTCTTGTTTTTTTATTGTTTTCGTTGTTGTTTTTTTCTTTTGCATTAATTAAGATGTTTTGACTTTGCAACACAAATCAATCGCATATTTGATGCTGTATGAGGTTTCAACATTAAGCAGTTTCAATTTTTTATAGCACGCCCTTTCTTTTGTGGTACAACATTTAGTTATCAGCACTGGTAAAGTGGTTGATTGCCACCACTGAAAACTGTCTAATGGTAAAAGGTGGTTGCAACTGAACTCAGTAGAATATGGATTCAAGCCTTACTTGGATCAAGTGAATTCTTTTCTTATTTCGGAAATCGCTCCATAATGGAATTGAATGGAAAGCAAATATAGTTTTATTTATTATAAAATATGAATATCCGCACCCTTAACTTAAAAAAATATCATTGACAATATTTAATTTTGGTTTGTCATTATGAAAGTGTCTTTTAAAAGTATATTTACGTTCGACAGGTGTCTTCAAAGAACAACTTTCCATTAGTCGCTTAACCATTTCGTGACCAACATTGAAATGAAATTATAGCATATGTGGTGAGAAATTCAGTAAAGCACAATTTTTTTAATAATTTTTTTATTAACAAATCATGTCATGAACATATTTTATCAATATAAATAGCATGTATTTCTAACAGTTAAAACTTATGCCATTATCCAAATCTTTGAAATTAAAAAAAATGTCGAGTCGTGTAAAAGTATAAAAATAGTAAGTACATGTACGAATAACAGCTCTATAAATAGACATTCGATGTAAGTCATGTAATTACTCACAAAATAATGTCTCCTGCTACGGGAGTTTAGAATCCATATCACGTACTATAGTTAAAAACTTTCATTATTTGTACACACACAATGTAATTTTCTATCATGTCATTTTTAAATCTAAATATACAGTTCGCTTTAAAGGCATACACCTTCATTATACAATAAAAACTCTAGAAATCCCGGAATGAATGAAAACTAATGAAAAGCACTAGGTTTCCTAGAATATTTTGTTAATTTTGGTATTACATGTATGTATGACTGCTAATGATTCATTTAATTAAACAATGTAATATCCAGGCTTAGCATTATGCTTAAGACAATAATAAAATAAAATAAATAGACAATGAGCAAATAGCTCACGCAAACAATTTTTTCTCTCAGTTTTTTCTTTATACTAGGTCATATATTCTTCAAAAATGAGTCACTTCATTTTCAATGTATTTGACTTCTGTTACTGACAAATGTTTAACGTGCCCATTCTTCTTTTGTAAATTTATAAATTCTGCGTGTAGATCTGTTTGGCTGTCCTCAAACGCTGGATTGATATAGTACCCTTTGTCCAGCAACGGTTCCGCCTCGGCTTGCGGCTCTGAGTCACATTCACTATCGTTTTCGTTAAGATTAAGAACATAATTTGTATCCCTAGCAACCGCGGACATGCGCGTTCCTTCATTCACATCAATTGTCTTTTCGTTTTTCACTTTCGGTGACGGTAAATTCCTTAATGTCACGTCCATGTTTTTAAACGCATTAAGCATAAAAATACCGCTTACAATCGTTAGAAAGCCACATATATCACCTATAATATCTTCAATGGTCAACTGGGCAAATTCTTTGTACAATACTAACGACATTATCGTCACACATGACGTAAACATGACGTAATACGTTGGCGTCACGACGGCTGTATTGAAATTGTCTAATGCTTTGTTAAGAAAATTTATCTGAAAGACAATATTTACACCAGCTACTCCGATCATAACGTACGTCAGCCAGTTTGTGAATTCGTTACGGCCGGCGAACGTTTCCTTTAACGCAACGCCTAATCCCTTACAACCCATCACCGTTAACGCGCCTAACGTTGAGCAAATAAAAACGTACACGACAACGTTTGACCTGCCGTACTTTGGAGCAAGAAATATTATAGCAAGAGCTGCTGCCAAGATGAAAACTCCAATTAGTACCAAGATCCCTGAAATATAAGAGAGAAAAATAAATTAACAATGCTTTGAAGGTTGTAAAATAAAGCAATCGCCATGTGTACAAGAAAATAACCACATGTAATAATGCCTTGTAGAGATTATGTCCCAGAAATGCATTTATTTTTATTTCTCAAAAGCTATATAGAAATTAAGTATTTTGTATGGAAGTCAAAATTTTAACACTTTGCTCCTCTTATGACAAAATATTTCACAACTATTGTTTTAATGTTACAAAACTCTAGTTTGCCTGTTTAAAGAAGGAAAAAATAGTCATTCCTGAGGCATAATTTAATGTGCCTTTAAACTAACGTTTTCGATTACATAAAACATGTTTGGTCAACTGTGAAGAAAACTTTCAAGAAACTTTTGAAATCATTATTCTCCAGTAGGTATACTAGTATGAGAAAACTTAGTCGTAAAATACGGTCGTTGTCCCAGCAGCACCCAAACTTACAGTCTCTGGGTCAAGAGGCTGTGACTTAAACACTTACGCCACCTCTCCTTTTGAAATATTATCATAAATGCTTTGTGGTAAGACCTAATTTAACTTTTGCTTAAATACGTGCAAAAAATCAATTCGGTAAAGAACATAATTCTTGAAAACAATTCACATAGTTTACCCTCCTTGCCAGATTGTTTTCATACAAAAAGAAAAAAAATACAACAACAAAAAATAAATAAATAAAAAATACAAAAATAAGGGAATGACTAATGCAACTAAGAACGCTATTATTTGACTTTAGAATGAAGCCATATTTGTTACCATTTAAAGTAGTATGAAAAGTAACAACATTACCTGGTTCTTTAAGTTTCTCTAAAAGTTCATGCATGTTTTGAATCTCCGCTGACTTGGGGGAGTGAAGCACCACCGTGGTCGACCCCAGGACACACAAGACACACCCCAGTTTACCTAGCAGATTGAGACCTTCGTCGAGAAAATAGGACGCTAAAACAGCACTAGATGAGATAAAAAAAAACATGCCTTATCAGAGAGTGTGGCAAAATAATACGCTATTTACTGTATTAAAATTAAGTTATCTTTAAAATATTCTAGAAAAAAAAGATGTTTCTCTAACAACTTCCATTTTGCAAATAATAACTTGTGATTGAAAGCCAATTTACAAGGAATTTACCATGCGTTACTTATGATATTTTAAACATATCATAGAAAAAAAGGTTGATATACTTATGCAGTTCAATCATGCACATTTTACTTACCTGAATATGACACTAAGCGCACCAAGCGGCGTGATGAGTGTTGCCGGGGCAAAAATAAATGCCGCAAAATTGCATCCTTCCCCGAGAGCCACTGTAAAGTAGAGGACGTAAAACCCATTTATAATACACTTTTCTATGACAATGCTATTTGTGATTATTGCTAAAAACATCTATAATGATAGTGTTTTACATAAAAGCGAAAGGTTTCCTTATAAACAAAAATGTTATTCTGAATTAATTAAAATGACCTTTCCTAATCTTTCAAATTTAGTTTGCAGATACTCCGTCTGTGATATATTTCAGACTCGGGCTGATGAACGGAAAGAACCAATAACATTTCGAAGCTGCCTCACAAGATAGAATGTCGACGTCTCTAATGGAAATCAAAACTACATAATAAATTGACAAGAGGGTGAAGGCCAATGATGGTCCTTCTATCCGGTCAACTAAGAACAATTAATGTAACATATACATGTATTTAGATCTTGCAGTAGATATAACAGATCGTGGAAAAAACTACTTAAGTAAGTATTATAAATAATTCCATGGTATGTTTTACTTACTCAACAACATCCCTAACCACCATTTCCATTGCAGCAAATATTTGTGACCTCCTTCACCTGTCATATTAATTAAGCTAATTAGATAAATTGACACATATACATTATAAAGTTATGTCTACATTCCAAAGCTGTCGTTACTAGTATCAAGGATAATTGAATCATAAAAAACTCCAGAAAATGAGGTCAAACCTTATTTACTTTAATTTACAAGTAAACAATCAGTAGTAGGTATATTTATAAAAAAAATCGCTACCGAGTCTGCTTACAATATGTCTTATCGTGAACGCTAGCTTAGGATTCAAACTTTAAGTATTTACTTGCCTCCAGTGCCAGACGTGCCAGTGCCAGACCGTTTAAATACGATGCGTATACTGCTACCTTATTTCTATTATTGTTTTATTGTCCACTAAATTAGAAAAAGCCTAACTTCGGCAGAAAATATATAGTGTAGAAAAAACGATCTTACCTGCACCAACACCCTGCTTAGCGGCCGATGCACGAAGTCCGAGCTTCTGTAGAATAAAACTCGTGCCAATAAAGAAACTCGAACCGACCGCAAGACCAAGACCGATCCAGAAATCTGTTTGCTGTTGCTCAGGTGATTCTGTGTAGTAAAGTGGTGTAGTTATATTCGTGGTTGTAGCGGAGGTCGAATTCGCCATATTTTTGTAGTCAAATTAGATAGCACATATTATCTCTGAAAAAGGTAAAGGTAAATGATTTCCAATTTTCCGAAAACAGTTGTAACAAACATCAAAAAGATAAAACTGGTCGTTAAACTAAATTTAATTTAATATAACATGGTGAAATTATTCCGTTCCTGATAGTAGATGTTTTCAAACTTCAATAATATAAATTAGGGTCGTCCGATCGATTTAAACGGTTAGTTATTGTACAAAACGATTACCCTGAAAGTCTTAACTATTCTAATCTGATTGACAGGTGTGTATTCAATTCCCTGTCAGCACAATTTGTTTTCATTGGGTATACAAATGTTGTTATTTTTACTCGGTTAATACAAACATATTAATTTAAGATAATTTGGCATATCCGGTTATTTAACCTTTAAAATGTTACAACTTCTTAATAACTGTAGTGATAATACAATTAATAACATAACACACGAAATTACAATAAATACGATATATTTCTGGTTATGTTTTACGTAGCACCAACACAGTACAAGTCATATAGCGACTTTCCAGCCTAACTGGTGGAGAAAGACTTCAGGTGACCGTCTGTGATTTTTTTTCAGACACAAACGAGCACCTGAGTAGAACCACCGACGTTCCGTAAGCTAGCTAGATAGCTTTCTCTCATGAAAGAATCCGAAGACAATTGCGCGGCTCGAACCTACATGGGTGAGAGACAAGTGGTTTGAATCCACTCGGCCACGTACGTCCCTAATTTCAATATATTAGAGATATCAAAGCGCAGTATTTAGTCTATAAAACAAAATACGGTGGTACAATCAATATTTGTTTGGTTAAGGGGGTACCGGATACTAATTATATCTGATCAATAATTAATGATCGGATATCGACCTGGGTCTGACATAGGGAAGTATAGATCGGTGCGTACGATTACATGACACGATAAGTTAAACATTTACCTGTAGGCAGAAATGTCACGCGTTGACTGATTCTACGTGTCTTGTTACAATAACGAAAATGGAGAGCAAACGGGAACAAAATCCATAATATTTTAGTAATGACTGTTAATGAATATCATATATAACAAAGCTACCTGATTATTCCATAAAACTAAAGACCTACCTACACTATGAAAGAATAGGTTTTGATTCAACAAATTAAAGACAGACACGCAAAACAATACAGCAATAATGGGCGAACCGTCATGCACGTGAATCATATATATTTGTATCTCAAAATGAATCCTACTATTTTGAAATGTATGTAAATACTGTTATGTATGTAAATATGTACGTTACCTTAAAATCCAGTTCAAATATATAAGTAATAATCTCCGGAAAGAAATGGTACTTAATTTACATTCATTTAGACATTTTTAGACATCCGTTCTATCCACATATTATACTGCAATGTAAAAATAAACATTGACACAGTATTGAATTTTAAGATATTTTAAGATCTAAACGTGTCGGAACTGGAAAAGAGGAATTAAAGATCTTTTCTTAAACATTAGCACGGATTAAGTCATAAACACACGCAAGTCCTGGTTCATTCAATAAGACTAATGTAAAAATATACACACATGACTTGGCATTGAAATGTTAGTCGGCATTCAATAGATATCGATCATAGACTTATTGAAAAATTGATACAAAATATAATTGTAGTTTCAGTTAAATTTAAAAAAATGTTTTCTATATACATTTGATAACAGCTTGTCATCAGTTGAATTTTTAGAGGAAAAAGACTTAGGTAGTTTTTGTTACATTTATCCTTATACATTATTTACACGGGAGTCATGGTTACCGTACTATGCGTATATCTAAGGGAAGCAATCTATCGTATTAAGTACTTTTAGTTGGATAATCAAGCTCATTTCTTTCCCCTTATAAGCAATTTCAATCTACATAACTTTAAAAGATAAGTGTGAAAAATAAAGTGACTTAAACTTTAGAAGGTTAACATACCAAATCTTTGTGTGAAACACCTATATTTTTCGCTTTCGGATCAACATTACATAGATTTATAGATAGGAAACAAAACAAAACAAAAATGGTAAAAAGTGAACCACAGACGCCCAGTTCCGTGCATGTGCTAGTCTAAACAAATTTATTTTAGTCAATTGTGTTGGAAGCTATAAGCTGATTGAAACACTCTCGAATCCGTGCATATGTTAAAGACAGATTTATCTGGGAAATTGTACACGAATTTTAAATTGTGTATGTGAAAATGCATTCTATAGAAACCTCCATTTTATATGTATATTTCATACAGAAAGCCACTCGGGGTTTAGGATTATTTTCAAACTTCAAGCACCCAGTCGCAATTTCTGACGATGGAAAATTAAAGATACAATTCAACACAAATAATAAGTACTGGCACCTAGTCATGGTCATTTTTATAAGTTCGTTTGAAAAATAGTATTATAAACAAAAACAAAACAAAAAAATTGTGACATGTATACATAATATATAAACATTATGTGTAAAGTAGGGATTGATTGCGCGTGCACAAGTCTTTCATAAAGATGAACATGCAAAAAAAATTAAACAAACAATATTGTAGAAAAAAATGGAAATTAAACCACAGACATAAAGTATATAAAGTTATAGTGATCGAATAAGTATCAGTTATAGTAAATTAGTAAGGAAGTCAAGATACTACTTTTAATTGTTTACATTTTGCTACTTATATGACGAATTGTGACGAATTATGACGAATTATTTGACATTTTATGGTACCTTTTCAAATTTTTCACTAACAAATATCAGAGACATAGATAACGTGTTATCAACATCTCTGCAAATATCTAACTTTTCGATCTCTTAATCCATTTTTTAAACATAATATAAAATTCACATGTTTGCCCATTCAAAAGAAGTAAAAATTTATATTAATAACTGAGACATAGTGTGCCTTTAAACGTTTTAAAGAGAGAAACTAATGCTAGATTTTTGTTAATTGGCACCAAAAGACGCTGTTTGCAATAATATTTGTACAGTCTTTTACAAGAATTATGTTGAGAAATACATAGACAACGTTCGCAAATACTTTCATATAAGAAGACCAAGGACATATTCTTTTAATTACAGAAATAAAGTTACAAAGGTATCTATAAATATGTGTACATAAATGATTAGTCTGTTTCGAACAAATCTACATTACGTTCAAATGGGTATACTTTAACGCTGTGTTTGGTGGTGACCAAATTTGGTCCTCCATCCGTATCTAAGTGAAAATTACGACATAATAATAAAACGCACCGGTTTGTGTTGTTTTTCAGAAAGTAACGAATTATATCAATATTTAGTTGCAGGATGTCATCTGGACTAAAGAAGAAAAAGGACACTGGCGGAGATCCTTTATTTGATCTAGAGCAGCAGTTTATAATGAGATTGCCGCCTGTAATTATTTTGTTTAATGAGTTTACACATTATTAGCCATAGTGTCGGATATAATATTTTCGGATGTATTTGTTTTACTTTGTTTTATGCCCTTTCTAGTTAATCCAATTGTATTTATTGAATTAAAACATGTAATAGTTCATGCAAGTAATGTCGATCGATCTAATTGATTCCGAATATTTACTTTATTCTGAGTGAAGACTATTGGACTTGTAAGACGAACAGCAAAACAATTTAATAAAGCAAAATGATTTGTATAATGAACAACAGGCTGACCAGTGAAAATGCCCAATCGGGCTTATGAAATAAAAGTCATATTTCTAGAAAAGTAATAAATATATTTCTTTAAAACTTTGTTTGTTTATTGAGAATAAGGTTTGACATAAACAGAAAGAAAAAAGTTGGGCTACTGTCATTTTTGTGAGAATTATTTCCTCTTTTCATGTTTTTATAACACATAATTTTTGAAGTCCTTAAAGAATATGTTACATTTGCAAAGTGTAAAACAAAATAGGTTAAATAACTTCTGTACTGTATGCTCTAATTCATTGCGCCAACACCTGTCAGCATACATTTCAGACAGTTTTCAGAGAAAATTTTAAAGTACAAATGTATAATGTTCAGTGTCAAAGAATTGTCAAACTATAAATGCCAAAAACAGAATTTTTAATCAAGATATATAGAATAAAGGTACTGGACAATAATTTAGAGCAAAATGAAGTTGATTGACACATTTCTAATAAGAATTTAACATAACAACATAATTTTTATGAACTTCAAATATTTTATTTAGTTTCCAGAAAATGGGAAAAAGGGAAATAATTCTTGGAAAATAAAAGATAACCAAAAAAAAATTATTTTGATTTGTATCATATATAAATGCTTAATAAACAAAACAAGTTAGAAAGAAACATATTAATTATTTTTCTGAAAATATAGTATTTTATGTCTTGAGCCAGATGAGATCGGGCATTTTCACCAGCCTGATGAATCATCTGTAGTCCTACAAGTCAACTTGTCCATGTTCTGTTCAAGAGTAATTTGTGCACTTATTCTTAATATAGTAACAAACAAAAAATAATGGTCAAAACAAACATAAAGTTTTACATTATTTGCCCTAAGCTTATATGAAATTAGACAAAGCCTATGAAAGGAGAAAGTCAGTTAAAATAATAGTTTATTTTTTTATTTTACATTTTCCATTTTAAGGTTGTCATTTAGTATTTCATGCACCGCTTCTGTTTTCACTCAGAACACCTTGATGATTATTTTTTAAGCTGAAAAGTTGTGATTGTTTCGTTATTGGAATACCCCGCCTATTATCATTGATGATCGTGAATCGGTCTTTGACTTCCCTGTATAATTTAAACAAGTAGAATGATTTGGATCAAGGCCTAGCTGATGCTACAATAAACCAATGCTTTGTGATCTATTTGTGTAAAAATAAAGGAAGCTTGGAGCTTATTTGAAGTAAAATATTCTTTTGTGTATTATGTTTACCTCAAGTGTCAATTTATGCCAAGTTGCGGTCTATGCCCAACCAATGTACATATATTTTTTGTATGTAAAAGTTACTCAATATTTGTTATAATTAACATATGGAATCTTTCTTATAGACTGCAGCTGAAGCATTGAGAAAGGAATTAAAGAATGAAAGTATTTATATAAAGGACCAGCTTAATATAGAACTGCAGTCTGACTTGAGACGTGGGGCTATCAGATATGGAAATGAGTACATTCCTGCTAAGGTATCCTATTTTATCGTATTCTTCTTTAGGGGCTAAGGAATAAACTGGCATAATATAATAGTAAACTCCACTTATAAAAATATACCTCTTATAACAATAGTCCTTTCATAATCGTAGACATATTCTCATAACGATGCTGCTGCTGCGATCTCCACCCTTATATAAAAATTTGTTGCCTTTCGGATATAAAGATATCCGGATATAACAATATAAATTCGGCAGTCCCCTGAATGAAGCTTTTATCTTTATATTACTGTTCACAGATGTTTATATTTTATGATTATGCTTAAAAATAAGGATACACTATTTGTAAGAGAAGTATACATTATGTAGTATTTATTTATTTTTCCAAATATGTAGTATGATAAAAAAATTTGATAAAATTTTAATTGAAAGTACAAATGATAGATTTTTTTTAAAAACAAATTATGGCTTAACATAAAGTTTATCAAATTTCAGATGGTGGATTTACCATGTATTATAGAATCACATAAGACTGTGGACATGAAGACATTTTACAAGACTGCAGATATTTGTCAGGTATAGAATTGTCATTTAAAAGCTTTCATTTAATGTTAAGTAGTTCTGTTGATTTTGGGAAAAAGTATCACTACAATTGCTAATTTGGGAATTTAAAAGCTGGTGTAAGTTCAAATTTTTGGGAAAACTGCATGATTTTATAGAATTTCAATTGGGAAGAGGCTCTTTTTAGGGCTGTGTTATATAAGAAGGAAACTCGCTGTTTATGCCCTATGTAAGAGATTGTTGGAACATATAGTCCGTTTGTAGAAATCTGAAACCTGACATAACACAAAAAGTATGAAAATGATTAATAGCTTTATACACTTTAACCAGAGACTAAATTTAGTTGGGTACAATGATAGAGTGTAAGTGAAAGAGACAGAGGTAAAACTATTCTCATATATTGAGAATTGGTTATATTGAGAACTGGATATATTGATGAACAGTTTCATTGAGAACTGGTTATATGCAGAATTGGTTATATTGAAAATCAGTTGTATTGAGAGTTGGTTATATTGAGAATTCCTTATATTGAGAATTAGTTGTATTTAGATATTGAAAATCAGTTATATTGAGAATTGGTTATATTGAGATATTGGTTATATTGAGATATTGATTATATTGAGATATTGGTTATATTGATATATTGGTTATATTGAGATATTGGTTATATTGAGATATTCTTTATATTGAGATATTGAGAATTGGTTATATTGAGATATTGGTTAAATTGAGAATCGGTTATATTGAGAATCGGTTATATTGAGAATCGGTTATATTTAGATATTGAGAATCAGCTGTATTGAGAAAATGATAACCGGTTATTTTGAGAATCAGTTGTATTGAGAATTGGTTATATTTAAGAAACAATATATCCCAAACAGTGATTTTATCGCTCAATAACATCACTGTTTAGAGTTTGGATGCGAGGAATTATATCACGAGGGCGTAGCGTAGCCCTCAAGCAATAAAATCACTGATTTGGATATATTATTTCGATTCTAACATGACAGTAACAAATAAATGTTGTGGTACTTGATAGTTAAGCAAAATTGCGCCTGATTTGTTTCATAACTTATTTTTAGTGGTTACGTCAATCACCGTCATGTGTATAATGATTACATCACATGTCTAAATATAGAACGTCAAACTGTGCATCTGTTGCATAATAACACACACTTTCTGTTCTTCTATGTTTAATAGGGAAAAATGCGGGTCGTGTTAGAATGATATATTAAGAATCGGTTGTCTTATTTATTACCTGTGACAACTGTGAATAATAAATATTTATGATAATTGTTGAAGATGTTGGTACCTACCACTGAAGAAGATATCGCACATGATGAAAATGAGACTCCTGCTAATAAAAAGAAGGGGGATAAAGACAAAAAGTTTATCTGGAATCATGGTGGTATGTATTGTTTTCTGTTGTAGTTTATGTGAGACAGAATATGATTGTAGTTCGCATTGTCTCTGGTTTGTTTCAGCCCTTACCACATGAAAAGTTTTTGAACAGATTTGTCCATCTTTCAGTCTGGAGTCTGTACAAAACCATTCATCATTTTTATGGAAAAAATTTCAAAATATTTTCTAAGTGAATAATGCAGACCATGATTGGATGGTACGGTTGTGCCAGCTTACATGTATCTTGGTCTGCACTGGTCACCCGACTAGAATCTGTTGCCACCTGCAGGCTGATAGTTGAGATCAGAAATTGAATATTTTCCTTATAACAAAGCTATCCAGGCAGTTCAGCTAGTAAATGGAAGGTCCAAACTTCCTCACAGGTACCCACTTGTACCTAAAAAATCGCACCAGAGGGCACTTTGTCTATCACCTAGTAAAACTAGAAATAGCTTGTGAACTTTACAGTGTCTTTAACCTTAAAAACTGAAAAAAATTTAGTTTCAAGGTTTTAATCATATTTCTTATTTAAAATTAACGGTTGATAAATGTTTTACTAATTGCTTGGACAAATAATGAAGGTCTTTCTTCATAACTTTTCGTTTTAAAGGGGACATAATCATTTATTCAAGTGTTTAACTGTGTCATCATCGTACAGATAGAAACATAATATTCTCTTTGCATTTCAGTTACTCCCCCATTAAAGAATGTGAAAAAGAAAAGATTTAGAAAAACTTTAAAGAAAAAGGTATACACTATGTACTCTATTTTAATAGCTGATCAACATTTCTTGAAATGTGAAAGAACTTGCTGAGTAGGGAGAGCATTAGATTAATAATCTAAGGGTTGCTAGTTTGATCCTCTAGTGAGGCGAATTTTCTCAGTGGCAATTTATCTCTGACATTGAGTCTAATGGTCATTTGTTTGTTACCACTGATTTATAAATCATGTAAGATAAGTTGTCTGTCATTTTGGGAGATATTGATAACTACTGGTTAGTAATCCAGAAAAGCCAATTAGGCGGACAGACTGAAGACATATAGCCAAAAAGCGTGAAAAGTTTGGCTTTAAAGAACAACAACAAACAACAGTACTAATATTTAAAAAAGAATATATTACTGTGAATGGAGAGGTCTAAATTGAAAATCTGGCAGGCCTCTTAACATAAATTCAGCAGGGTATATATAAGTTGAATCATTCTTTGGATTTGTTCCGTTACAGCATCATTTAAAGTCTATACTTTATTCAGATTGATAAATTTTATAAGAAATTTCATTGATAGGTTAAATATTAACTGGTATTCAATGATATTAAGACAAAATTGGACCAATGAAATTTTTTTTTTACAGTACATGGATCAGCCTGACATAGAGAAAGAAGTTAAGAGATTATTCCGGGCAGATGCTGAAGCTATAAGTGTGAAGTGGGAGCTAATAACAGAAGATGAAAAAGGGGCCACAGAGAAGGTTGAGGGCACTGGAGGACCAGCCCCAGGGGGCTCATTCAAAAGGACAGATACTGCAGCTAGTCTTGATATAGGTTTGTTTTTATCTTGTACTATAAATATTTCATGAAAAAGATTCTTCACATATTATTACAGCATGAAACACATTGCTTTGCAATCTTTGTTTTTCAAAAAAACTTTGCCGAAAATTGGTTTGAAAATTTACTTTTTCTGAGAATCTAATAGGAGGTCATTGTCTATAGCCTACACTTGGTTGTTTTGGTCAAGTTATTGCCTTTATGTATTAGAACTTTAAAATTTCAAAAAACCGAGGCTGTTAATATTCCGAGCTTGTTTTGAGTGTCATACCAAGTGTGAAATAGTAAAGCACGGGCCCAAAAACCCACAGCTTTTCCTTATGTTTATGTATAGTGGGTTAAAAAATTAAATTAAACTTTGTTTTATAACCGGTTACAAGTTAATTTTAAATGAAAATTTGGTGATTTGATATTGTTGAAAAAAAGCACTGGTTTTAAATTTGGCCCATCTGTTTTATCAAAAAAATTAAAAGAATCTTTAATTTTATAAACCCCCTTAGACTAACCGTAGAAAATTGTTTCATTGCATTTCTTTGATGTCTACCAATTCGTTAAAAAACACAGTCCAGTGCAAAATTTGCGCTCAAAGTCCCATCATACATAAGCATTTCAGGAATCATAGCCCTCTTTTCATTTTCAACAGCATTTATTGTGGGTATGTGATAACAAGAACTTGTTCAATAAATTCAGTATTGAACTTACGCTCATTCAGTGTCCCCTATACAATATTTATGTAATTGTAGATATATTCGGAGAATTGAGTACCTCAGATGAAGACGATGAGAAGGATGTTAATATAATGGACAGTGAAGATGACGTTTCTAGGCAACAGAATTATATGAAAATGGAAGACAGTAACTCACAGATGAAGCGAGATGATCTAATAAGTCTAGATAGTTTTGTATTACCTGGTGGCCAGTCCTTAGAAGATTCACAAGCATGTATGTATACTGTATAGTGTTCAATATCAATTTATAACTAGGTGACTAAGGTCACAAAATGTTTTAGTGTCCTCAATGTAGGTTTGAATCCAGCTGGAACTTTGAATTCTTTCATATGATTAAATTTACCAGTTTCATAAAAATTAAATGCAGAAAGGATACCTGGGGAAGCTATTAAAGCAGCCTTTAATGGTAACATCAGAATGTTAAACATTACAACCCAGCCCGGATAGCTCAATTGGTTATAACATGAGACTTGTAATCTCGGCATCGTGGGTTCGATTCCCGGGCTGGCCAACTAAAATTTCTAATCAGTATTTCAGATGTCACTTTAAATGTAGGTCCTGTATATAAGTGCTTAAATACCTGGCATGTTTGGCACGTTAAAGAACCAGGAGAAGCTTCTGGAATAGGGGCATCTTTCTGTATCTGTATCTTGCACTATCCTCCAGAATTTAAAAAGTCTAACACTTTTCTGGAGGACTTGCCCATATAGGCACCGGTGGAGAGTATAAATAAACTTAAATACTTACACACATTGACAATGATAATTAACCAGAAAAATATATATGTTACATTGATTGAAATTTTTTTGGGGAAAAGTTAGTTTTAACATACATTATTTTGTTTGTAGCATCACTTGTTTATCATGCCATTAACAGCTGTGTTTGTTGATTGTTTTTTACAGCTGCAGATATGCAGATGAAGTTGACAGATTTAGGGAGACAACTAGAAGATATGACACAAGACATGAAGAATGAAACACTTGATGCTACCAAAGATTTACTAGATACCTAGCACTGATACTGCCAGAGGTGAGATATTTGAAATATAGAAAAATAATACCTTAACTTTGTCTTTACAAAGTCAAAACCTTTATGTAAGGTCCTTTAAGAATGAAATAGGCAGAGTAAGATTTGCTAAGAGTGCAGAATAATGATTTTGTCAACCTTTTGAAATAGCACAATTTTATGCTTCATATAAAACTTCCCCGAGGCGGGGGACGTTGGTAACTCTGTTACAAATTTTATAAATTTGTATGGCAATGTTAAAATTTTTCATTTTAGTTCAAGATATTATTATATGTTTCAGTATGGATAAGAGGAAATGTCTACATGAATTACTTCACAGCGGTATGTGCATCATTATTGCAGTAGTCTAAACTTCTAAAGTTTATTTCTATTGTATACAGAAATATAGATTCTCACTCCAAGATGGTGGAAGAGCTATATCCCATGTATATTTCCATGTTGATGGAATGTGTCGTAAAAGTTAAAAAGACAAGCACATCAAATACTTATTGAAATTGTTTTAGTGCACTATTTTTGTTAATTAAAGAACGATAAATATTGTTTTTATTCAGTAACCCTGGTCTGTTTTTATTACCTCCCTTGAATATTTCTATATATTTACAATATGTAATAGATATACCATTGGTGCGTTGACGATTTCTGGGTTTGCGTAAATTATACCATAATCACGTGACCTTTCTTATGCCTTAACCTCACGAGACGAAGAAAGGTCACGTGATTATGGTATAATTTACGCAAACCCAGAAATCGTCAACGCACCAATGGTGTATCTGTTTTAACCTATAGCTCCGCCCAGAAACACTTACTCCTTCGATCTTCAAAACTGAAAATTATACCATAGTCTGGGTATGGTATAATTTACGGTTATTGAAAATTATATTTGGAAGAATTTTACATAAGAAGCGCTGAAGAGCTATAGGTTAAATTGAAATAATATATGTGTCAGTGATATAGGTCAAGATGAACATCAATTAGAGAAATAGATGGAGGCGATCATGTAAATGACTGATGACGCCTTACAATGAATTATTGTCATTTTTATCAATGGGTTTTAAGTCATATACTTACGCATTTCAACTAACATGATGAATTTCTCGCTTATATCACGGGAGATAACTTCATGTACCGTTTGTTGAACTACTGACCTTTAGAATGTAAGCCTTGATCTGCTGATAACATATCAATGTCTATTGTTTACCGATATAACGCCCGGCAAGCAGAACGTAAACTGTATATGGCTGCTGGTATTTAAGTACAGGAACTTTATGTACTTGTTCTAGGTGCCAGTGCGAAAAAGCAACAGGCTTTATAATGTTACATTATATAGTATATAAGGCACCTGAAACTATCTAGGTAAGATAAGCTTTCGTTTGGTCCGCTCGCCCTATATTCCTTATATTAGACCTTTATATACAGTATGATGTTTTCCATTTAAGTCTGTAGAAAAAGATCATATTAATGTATCTTTGGTCTGTAAAACTGAAAGATTGTTAAGAAAGGTACAGGTATCAATCCACTTAATCATATTTATTATTATGGGTGTAGCTGAAGCGTTTTCAGTAAAAGTTTCAGAAAATAGCGACAGCTTGTCAGTATGTGAATTAGAAAAGAAACATCATCATTTTAAATGATTAGTTGCTTTCTTATCCACGAACTTTGTTATAAAATTATCTCTTTTATTCAAACATAATAATCCATAAATCCACATTTTCTTTAATTTGCATATCTTTTCGCATGAACTTTATATTACTGTATATCTTTGTATACCTGACAATATTTTCCCATGAACTTTGTTATTGGCATCGCAATTCCCACCAACTGTTAATTAAGAGTTTATTTTGTTTTACGGTAATAAACTTTGCGTTTGGATCGTTTGTTTTTTTTCTCGGCCCGACGCTTTTTTCTGTCCGAACGGGACCGAATTGAAAGCCTTGCCACTAGTATAGGTCAGTCTGCAAGTCCATGTAACTTTTTTTGTTGTTTTGGTTTTGAATTTTAGAAAAGAAACATCCTCATTTTAAATGATTAGTTGCTTTCTTATCCACGATCTTTGTTATAGAAATATCTCTTTTATTCAAACATCCACATTTTCTTTAATTTGCATATCTTTTCGCATGAACTTTATATTACTGTATGAACTTTGTATACCTGACAATTTTTTTCCCAATGAACTTTGTTATTGGCATCGCAATTCCCACCAACTGTATTAGACTTATTTTTTTTATGGTAATAAACTTTGGTTTGGATCGTTGTTTTATTTTTTTTCTCTCTCTCAACGCTTTGTCTGTCTGAACGGAACCGAATTGAAAGCCTTTGCCACAAGTATAGAGCTAGGCCAGCCTGCAAATCCATGTACTTTTTTGTTGTTTTGTTTTGAATTTTATGTCGCACCAACACTGTACAGGCCATATGGCGACTTTCCAGCTTTACTGGTAGAGGAAGACCTCACTTGCCCGTACGTGCATTATAACAGGTACCTAAGTAGAACCAACGACGTTCCGTACGCGAGCTTCCTCACATGAAAGAATCCAAAGCCCCTGTCGGGATTCGAACCAACAGCAGTGAGGGACAAGTGTTTTGAGCAATTTTTGTATTTTGATTTTGATACCTTTAAACTTTAAATGGACTGTCCTGATTTTAAAGCAGGACGAATCCATTACACAAATGCAGTAGATGAAAGGTTAATTAAACGAAATATTGACATTTAATTCATGAAATTGATCGGGCGTCCATTTTCTTCCATACAATATTGTTATGAATGACATATCTTAAAATAAGAACTCTTCAAGTGCCCTTTGTTATCTTAGGAATTACTTTATTGGCAATTATTTTTCGAGGTTTTCTTACTCTTTAAACATTGTAAGGATTTGAAGTGTTTGATTTGTTATTTTAGTAAACAAAGTAATTATCTTCAAATAATAACGTACTGCTCGTGGTTTTTTATCACATGTGTACCACAGTATTGTATATTTGTAGTTTATAGAATGTGATGTGTTTTAGTAAAATGTTCATCGGCTCTCCTAAATTACCAGATAAGTCTTAGGTTAATAAGCCTTTGAATTGCAGGTTCGAGTCTTTCAACCACTTATCGACTTATCGAGCTCGGCTTCTGGAACTCGAATATTCTGGTAGCTACAGTTCGAACTCACAGTGCCTGAACTGAGAGGCAGATACCTTGACTACATAATCGACTCTCTGATTGAAAGAAAACAACAACAACTATTATTATAAGACTGATATTTATTAACTGTATATACAAAAAAGCAACATATAGTCTGGGACTTAATGATATAACTGGTGTATTTAAACTGCAAATCGATATGAAATTGTCGGTGCAGAATAAACTGATCTCTCATTTACAATATCAGATGTTAGGCAATGTATTTTGTTACCTTTGATTATTCAATCATAGCCTATCAACTATTCCGATCTAGAATTACACGAAGCGTTATCAGAATGAGGCTATATATAAATAACTATAATTTGAAATATCTGTTGCTTAACGGACTGGGTTGTTTCAATTGAATATATGTGAATTACTTTACAAATTACTTTATGAATATTTTATCAAAATTCATTTTTTTTTAATTTTCTAAGGATATTTCATACAGAATTAATTCCAGTTCTTTTGTGTAGGAAGCTATCAGTTTATAGACATACTCTCAAATTCGTACCTAGAATCAACCTGTACTTAAGCAATGGGTGTCAAAGAGACTACGGCTTACGTCTGACTGGGTTTGAATCCTGACACGCGACCAATAGTTCTTAAATTACAAAACAGGCGCGTTAACCGTTCAGCAGTCACATTGTTCTTGGACAGGCTGTCAAGCAGTTTATCAGTACTAGTCTTCACTTTCATAAGGAATTGATAACTCATGTCATAGAAGAGGTACAGTGTGAATGACCGTAGTTCTAAAGGATTTTATAATCAATTACAACGAAAGTGACCTGCACCGTCCGGGAATCGAACCCGTCTGGCCCGATTCACAATCCAATCAAACGCTCTTACTATCGAACTAATCGGACAGTGCCGACTCAAAAAATTAAATGTTATATTAATGCTCTCTGGTGACTTAATTATTTGAATGAGAAAATAAAGTAACATCCATTATTTTGAGTTTTTTTCTGCGAGTTGTATAGGTTGGTTTGTCGTACATGTTTGACTGTAGAAAATTAGAATAAGCCTGTAATGAGGAAGTTAAATAAAGGTCATTCTTTAATATTTGTATGTAGTACTTCATATTATAACATGCATGATTTGAGCAAAAGTCTTTGAAGTTTTAATGACCTTTTGTAAGAGAATCTTATTAAATCATACGGACTTCTTAGAAACCATACTTTGATATTTAAACGACTTCCTTGTATGCATAATAAGGAGTCGTCTAAATATCAACGTATAAGCTTTTGAGAAAATATAACCAAACGACATGCACTTAACAAAATTATTCATAAAAAAAAACGATGATGAAAATGCAAAATTTCGTCTCATTATCATCAATGTGTTTTCGTTATCGTACTTACGCTATTTTCGCTATGATTGTACTTTCGCATTTTCGTATTTTTCGCTTATTAATCTATATATACTGCCCTAAGCGTAGATAATTGTTGAAACAAATTTTAAATTATCAACAACTCTTAAAATTCACTTAATTTAGTATTCTTGGATGAGATAGATAGAGTATCGGATTAGTAATCCGGGGGTTGGGTGTCCCTTGTTCGATCCCCGGACGAGGCGTAATTTCTCCGTGACAAATGATCTCGAGGGTTTTTTTTTAAACGGTTATTTGTCTGACCGCTAATTCAGAAATCATCTGGGATTAGTAGTCGATCGTCTGCGGAGAAATGGGTAAGTACTGGTTAGTTATCCAGTAAAAGCCGGTTAAGGGGCCGACCGCCAAAATATGACCAAACTGTATTAAAATCGGGGGAAAAAACACGAAATAATCAATCAATCAGTCATATATGAGATACAAGTATATGTGTTAATATGTTAATCATATCGGCTCAAGATGTATAAAAATAATGCGTTCTTTTAAAAGTTAGTTCCACACACGTGAAACATTAAATCAAGCTGATTTTCTTTCTTATAACATCCGTTATTGGTGGATAGGGATCGGGCTTTGTAACCCGATGAAACATTTTGTACCAAAACGGTGTAATAAGCGCGCCTTGTTTTCGTTCATCGTGCGTATATAATAAATTTAGGAATCTCGTATTGTGTAAATATTTCAGTGTTGTTTCTCAGAATGTTTTTTGTTGCTTTTGGAGAAAACTGAAAAGTTAATAAGTATGTCATCTTAAAACACGATATATATTTGGAGCAAATTCTTAATACTTATCCATAGCTAAATAAAACCAGTTCGTTTATATACATATGCATTTATACTGTAAACGATTGAATGTCTTTTATCAATGGAACCTTGACTGTAAAAATTTATGAAAAGACTAAAATGTCTGCCATTCGGAATACCTCAACTATTATACAATATAACTGACAGAAACTATGGGTTCTTGGAAAAAAAACATTAGTTTGTTTTATAAATGATTATTAAGTGTCGAGCTCAACAAAGTCAGAGTGGCACGTGCTGACACAGACAATAGAAATCTAGGTCATCCATGAAGGTTTTCTCCCATGCTGAATATAGTCATGAATATTTTAGCGCACTTAATCAAAATTGTAAGAGCTTGTGACATATCAAGGTACGGTATATTAAATCATTTTACACTTACCGTAACGAAAACAAATAAATGTAAAGCCAACTTTTAGCATATCTAATTTAGATGAACGCATTTTGTGAAACGAAATATATATGAGCCGCGTCACAACAAAACCAACATAATGGGTTTGCGCCCAGCATGGATCCAGACCAGCCTGCGCATCCACGCAGTCTGATCAGGATCCATGCTGTTCGCTTACAAGTAGAGAAACTGATAGCGAACAGCATGGATCCTGATCAGACTGCGCGGATGCGCAGGCTGGTCTGGATCCATGCTGGTCGCAATCGCATAACGTTGGTTTTGTCGTGACGCGGCTCATATTCAAAATACAATTTTGGTCTTGGCGTTGTTTTACCTTGAAAACAAATACCGAAAACGAGTAGTCTTCTATTTGAAATTAAATATTATTACTTTACAATAATGATATGTTTACCCCATCCCCCACCCCCACAGATAATGAAATTCATTTTGATAAATCCGTGCAACATTAAAATATTAAAGTTTTGTTTTACAGACTGACATGCCTCTTTAACAGCGTTTCTCGGAGCTTTCCATCAATTTATAAAGTAAGGAAGAAAGAAAGAAACAAACAAACAAAGAAACAAACAAAGAAACAAACAAAGAAAGAGAGAAAAAAGGAAGCAAAGAAAGAAAGAAAGAAAAACAGCAATAGCAGGTACAAATTCACTTTCATTATGATTGAATTTCTTCGGCGCTTTTATATATTTATTTATTTTCTATTTATTTATTCATTCATTAAGCCTATATATTGGCGCATTTATTACAAAGTTTACAATTTCTTCGACATGTCTTTAAGATTGTTCTTGCATTAATTCTATTGTAGACTGCTGGCTTTAGATGCTATTACCGTATCGATATTCTATAGTTCCTTTGTCAAGCATTTTTTTCTCGCCTTGCCGACGGATTCAGAGTCAATGGTAGATTAATAGCCATTAAGGTGAGAAATCAATTTTTCCGAACTATAGGGCAATTTAACATTCGTGTGATGCACGAGCTGTTTAGCTAAGAATGATGATCTTCAATAATAATAACATTGCATAGCGTCTAATTTGTTGACTGCTTATAAGAGAGGTGCGACACTGATCAAAATTTGTGTCTCTGAATCCAGGACGTTTTGGCTCGAAAAATAGCGGGTTTGAAAACGTAATAGCTGCACAGTCTGGATCCCTTGATTTAAACCGTTGATTTATAATTTGATGTCTTTCAAAGCTATATATCTATATAATTATTAAAATAAGTTTAAAGCAGCATGCCTCCCGTTTCTTGCTTATATCTATCAAACTTTTAAAAATATATTTAATAGAAAAAATGTTTTGAAGTGAACAAGGAAAGTAATTTACACATGGCAAACGGAACTAAAAATCCATGTATATTACCAAACGTGTTTGTTACGCAGTAAAAATATTATGATAAATAGGCTACTGCAAAATCAGTTATTTATGTATTTATACATGTTTTGATTTTTCTGTCACGTATGATTGTTGGGATTCGACTATTAAATGATGAGAATATAATTGTTTTTGCACCACTGAAATGTATGCTTATTTAACTTTTGTCCATTCCAAACATATTTTCTTGGGTTACTCTAGATCCGGAAGTCTCTCAATTCAAATCCCTCTCAATTCAGATTCTTTTCAAACATACGGTGATTCAAATGCCATTTAAATATACATGTACATGTATAATAAATATGTTACCACACACACACACACACACCAACACACACACACACACACACACACATATATATATATATATATATATATATATATATATATATATATATATATATATATATATATATATATATATATATATATATATATATATATATATATATATATATATATATATATATATATATATATATATACGATTCATTTCGTTTCATCACATATATTGTCTAGTGGTATAACATACACATATAGCTTACACATATAGCTTACACATATAGCTGACACATATAGCTGACACATATAGCTGACACATATAGCTGACACATATATAGCTGACACATATACCTTACACATATACCTTACACATATAGCTGACACATATAGCTGACACATATACCTTACACATATAGCTGACACATATAGCTGACACATATACCTTACACATATACCTTACACATATAGCTGACACATATAGCTGACACATATACCTTACACATATACCTTACACATATAGCTGACACATATAGATGACACATATACCTTACACATATACCTTACACATATAGCTGACACATATAGCTGACACATATACCTTACACATATACCTTACACATATAGCTGACACATATAGCTGACACATATACCTTACACATATACCTTACACATATACCTTACACATATAGCTAACACATATACTTTACACATATAGCTGACACATATACCTTACACATATAGCTGACACATATAGCTGACACATATAGCTTGCACATATGCTCATGTGATGCCACTTAAAATTATTATGTGACTTCCACTAACACATGTGACTTTATTCGCATTCACATCATACGTAATTAATACGATTGTACGGATATAAATCAATGCCACTATGAGTATTTGTGAACCACTCAAAATCAACAAAAATAGTTATTTGATACAAGTTTCCTTTTATTTCGACACTTTGGTACCATTGTTTGATTTAGGACAATATGAAAATATTTGTCGCTGTTGTGCCATTTCAACGTTTCTATTCGTTCCTACCTATATAATACGAATGATTTGTTTAATTTGTAATTTAGCAATGGAGTGCTGCAGAACGTGCTTTTGTTGTAAACAATTTGACTGCTCTCTGTCAAACTAATCGTATGACTTAACCGATTCAATTCATAGAAAAATATCAACATACACCCATTGATAATGATGAATATTCTAATATATAAATTATTTTTTTGTAGAATGACTTTGTCCTGACACAAAAGGGAATTACAGGTTTTAGCAGACGACAGTACATTATGTCAACAACGCGCCTGCATACGTACAGGTTGGTTTGCCTTGGACACACGCACCCATTTTTCTGAAGGAAGAAACTGCAAGGATCATTGTTAAGGTGTTCTTATTTTCTAATACGTCAACGTTGTTTGTTAGATTGAAATTAGTCCTGATTAGTTTCGAAATAAACATATTGACTTTAACAACTGGGTATTGTTGTTTATTTCTGGTGTAGCTATGGGAATGTTTAGTCAATAAGCTTTTATTAAGACCCTCCCATTGAGTGCGTCAACTGGGAAAAACCAGTTTCTCCTAAAAAACAAAACGTTACGACAATATGAAGAAGAATTACCAGGAAAAAACCTTTAACGAGTATTTTTTACAATTACGTTTCAAATAAGTTTTGATATTAATACATCTCAAATAACATGAATCTCAAATAACATGGACATCTATTTGATTTAATTTTTCCAATACAATTTTCCATTTGATACGCAGATATTGTGTTCTATAGTTTAATCGTAATTTAAATTAAGTGTGAATATCGGATGCGAAGTTTTCATTTTTTCAAATGGAGTGTTTTATTCCGTAGTCTGGAATCTATAAAAGCGACGTATTGTTTATATGGTTATTGTCTGAGATTATAGAATCAATTATTCCAGTCAGTTTTCGAACGCTTTACCAGATACAATATTTTATATGCTAGCAGACGACAATATGCTCGCGTGACGAATAGATGTGATATTTGATGACTAAGGATGTATAGGATTGTTTGAAATAAAACAGTAAGTTTACTTTGTTAAATATTAAATAAGTTACTGATTTTATCACGAAATACTTGTTTGATTATTAAATTCTACTTACAGCTGTGCAGACGTGATTTTCTGATTACACATTAGGTGAATGGTTATGTTTAAAACAAAATGCTGATGTAAGCATATAAGCGTATCTAGATCTTATTGTGATGATAAAATTTCTTGTGTATGAAGCTATATTTGATAAAATATTTTGATAAAATTTATATAAATGGTAAAATTGTGTTTCCCGATAGAGGAACGGTCGATTTTTGAAAGAGATCCAAAATAGAATATCTCTGTTAGTTATCTTTTATTTTTTACTAATATTGCACATTAACAGAATTAAATGTTCCGGAACATATTATTATGTTGCTATTTTCAGTAGATATTTTAACTGTTTATCAATGATTTATAATTAGTACATGTGCCATTCGCACAAGGGAAATAGATAAACAGGTTTTTTCATAGAGATATTTTGAAATGATTTTTTGTTCAAAATTTGAACAACAATTTTGTCCGATACATGTATATTTCTTTACTCACTTTAAAACGTTTAAATTATTTATAAAGAAAACAAAACATACGTATATATGTACAATAACGTATATGTTTTTATATGTTTTGTCTGAAATGATATCTATGAATACTTCAAGCCTGTTTATCATATGAAAGAAACACACTTTAATTTTTTTTAACGTTGATATTGGTAAAGTTGTTTTTATATATAAAAAATCATAAAAGCAATTATATTATAGCCACATATTGATCAGAGATCGAAATACATCACTTTCATCAAACCACTGGTCTTAGATCAATGGTGTAATCTACGTATGAACATTTAAGGGATAGTTTAGCATAGTGATCCATCTTATTTGTCAAGAAATGAACTACTAGAATTTGAACTGTCGCAGATAACACATTGTCACAAATGAATCACTCCTAGTTATTGTCACGGTCATACAATCTCTTCCTGTCACGGAGAACCATGACCTCATAAAGGGGTTTTCAGCATCATTTCAATTTCGCTTCACCAACAAGGCAATTTGTTACGAATATGCAGTAAAATTCTGGATTGATTTTACTGGATTGATTTTGTTTATATATTGAATGACCCTCGTATAAAAATTCTATGTATGAATTTAAGTTTAGGTCGTATACATACGGTTTATTCCTTCATTGTTTAATTTTATGTTCTTTAAAGGCTGTGTTTGTTTATATGGTTGTTTTTGTTGAATATACATTGTATGTATAACAACTCTGGTAAATCTTATATTGTCACTCCTGCCGGTTATCTATCTGGGATACAGGAAATGTTGGCTGATATTTCTAGGAGGAATCATGTGTTGTTTAAACATTTCTGTATTCAATTCAAGTTTGATGTGACGTATCGGCAGGGATTGAAATATTTAAGTAACTATTGAACAATTGAAGCAGTTCATTGATACGGGATTGATCGCGGAAACAGGATGGTTGGTCGTGTAAACATGGTCACAAATTGTAAACAAACACGTGATTCGGTTATACACGTGTTTGCTGTGCTTTACGGGTGATGTCATTAATAATTTAGTTGCCTGGAAACATTTAAAAAATTATTTTTAAGTGTAAAAAGCTATAATAAATAATTTATATATGTCTGGTGCCTACAGATTATTCATTTTATATATCTGTTGCCTATTTATATATTTGTTGCCTATAGATTATTCATTTTATATATCTGTTGCCTATAGATTATTCATTTTATATATCTGTTGCCTATAGATTATTCATTTTATATATCTGTTGCCTATAGATTATTCATTTTATATAACTGTTGCCTATAGATTATTCATTTTATATATCTGTTGCCTATATATTATTCATTTTATATATCTGTTGCCTATAGATTATTCATTTTATATATCTGTTACCTATAGATTATTTATTTTATATATCTGTTGCATATAGATTAAACATTTATTGTTTGCATTTCGAAAAAGAAATACTTCCAAAATACCCTTATTGGAGAAATATACCCCTGGAAATAAGTTAAGCACACCACGGATATTTAATATTGGTTGTGATTAAGATGACAACTAAATTGAGGTAAGAAATAGTAATGCGATAAATAGCGAAAGCAATTTAATAATCATAAACCAGTAAATTAATGAGTTTAGTTTATTCTTTACCAAATTATTGAGGCATAAACAAATGTGTTGTTTTTGACAAAAAATGTTAGTGTTTATAAGTATGGTGTGGGAGCGTTTACAAAATATTTACTGGTGGATAATTTTGGTAAATATTGACGATTACGTAACCTAAAATGACATTATGTAGCCAAATGTTTAATATCGTGTGTAACCGCCAGGTGCCCGGATGATAGCTTTAACCATTCTCCTCATACTACCAGTAAGGCGTCTTATGCGATTTTGAGCTAAATTTTGCCATTCTTGGTGCAGAGCTTGCTCAAGTTGTTGCAGGTTGACTACAGGTGATTCGTACCATTGCCCAAATAAAATTTAAAATTTCAGTTGTGGTTATGTCAAAAGTGAAGCAAAATGCCGAGTGTGCTTAACTTATTTCCAGAATTATACATTTATATTTCAGAAAATGACTGCTAAACGGTTACTAAAATTATATTTTTTTTGTTCCGGAACATTTTATTCAATTGTTTGCCCAATATTCATAGGTGTTTGACATACAGAGACATTTATATTACAACTCTTTCAAAACTCGACTAAGAAGATTAAGGAAACAGAATTGTAACTTATATAAATAGAGTTTTGGGGTCAACTTTCGATATAGTTTTTTATATAATAATATATAACTTGAAAACTTAATATATCATATACAACTGTATTAAATTACTGTGCGCATAGATTTTCATATAAATGCAAAGCTTGAAAATATATAAAGTCAGAAATCTTTTAGAATGAATCATAGAATACAAGTTATCCAGTTGAGAACCAACTTTACATACGGGTATTTACTTTTAGCGACACAGCATGAGGAAACTAATTTGATCATCTCTAACTCTATAGTGTCCCAGATATTGGACTATTCAAATATCACAGGAAATGAAGACTAGAAACATAAAAATATAAAAAATATCTATACGGCGATATTCTGGCATAAGTCATCTTTAACTGCCATTAAGCACAATATAAAGGTATAGGAAATGACAATGTATTGGCATACATATATGTATGAAATAGATTTTCTTTTCGGTCGAAAGCCGTCTAAAATCAGTTTGACTTCCTGTAAAATTAACGGGGAAGAACTGAATATAAGACGAATTTTCATTGGTCATTTTGAAGTTACAAAATGAAATCTGTGAGTGTCATTGGCCATTCTGACATGAAATGCAAAGGATAGTTCTTGCCATTCTGAAATAAGATTTTAAGGATAGTTCTATTTCTGTGGAAACGGACCCGTCGTCTGATCTTGTTTTAAATATATCATAATTCAAAAAGCCAAATGATAGTTTGATAGTATTTGCTCATTTTAATAGTTTTATATTGAAATAATCATTTAAATCATTTAATTATATAGATTTAAATATCGATATAGATTGTTATATACATTGTTAACAACACGACAAAAAAACAAAAAGAAAGAAAGAAAAATACAATAACAGAAACTGTTAGTTAATGTTTAATTTGTACAAGTTATATTCAAACTTGGCTTCGTCATTTAACTTTACAAAATCGATTTTACAACTTTTTAATCTTGATAGCCGTTGGACGGAAGTAGGGGACAAACGAGCTTTAGGGCGTGAAACATGTCCTCCCATGGACAAAACTGACTCCGAGCAACTTTTCAACTATTTATTTTTATTGCCTTTTTCATTGCTCATGGATTGGTTTCCCTTTTTCAGTTTTTTCCGGCCTTAAAAGTGCAACATAATGACAGATAATGCCACCCTCTTAAACATTGTGTAGGAGTCGCCCTAAAGCACCCAATAATGAGACAGTTTCCATTCGAGATCACACTTTACAATATTATTAAAAACTTGAAGTAGAATTTAGGTCCTTATGACGTCATTGATTGCATTGTGTCAATATTTATCTCTTTAAAGTACTTTCATTCCTGCAGGAATATTATATATAATCATAATTTTTTATATCAGACCGTAATAATTATTTGTATTAGGACATTTATAAAATATAATCAAATTTGTCTTCTTCAAAAAAATCCTTATAGCAAAAAGCAATTATATCATAAGTTGCTTTTCAGCTATTTTAATTAATGCTGTTCTAAATTCTTACACCGAGTATCAAATAAGGGGAAAATGTATTCGAAATAAAATGAGCCGTGTCAAGACAAAACCAACATAATGGGTTTGCGACCAGCATGGATCCAGACATGCCTGCGCATCCGCGTATAGTCTGATCAGGATCCATGCTGTTCGTTTACAAACCCTATAACAAGTAGAAAAACTGATAGCGAACAGCATGGATCCATGCTGGCTGCAAACGCACTATGTTGGTTTTGTCATGACGCGGCTCAAATATATTTTTATATTTTGAATGCATGTTACAGTCTAAAAGCACCTTATCAATTATTCTTATTGACACAGATCAAACAAAATTAGATAAAGTATTCTTCAATAAATATTTATAGCTATTACTCCTGGACGACATAACAAATTTCGTCTGTGTAAAATTATTTATGAATTAAAAATAAAACATTTGTTAAATACCAATACAGGCAGTAGAACTTTGGTACGAGCTTGTTTCCTTATTTTTCTACTTGTACAAATTTAAATTAAAAAAGAGTTTATTTAAAGAGTCAGAACCAATCAGGTTACTATTAGAATATCGAAATTACAATTTAAATAAGTGAACTCTTCTTTTAGAAATCTATATAAATGTACTTACCAAAATTAATTCACATTTCCATTATGTTTTTTGTTTTGTATGCATTTTTTCTTTTCATTTTTGATTTTTAAATAATTTACCAATCAAAATCAATACTGTATATGAAAAGAAAAAATATAACAAAATATAAACAAAACCAAAAATAATGGGAAATATATTTTAAATTTTTTTATTGAACTCATCGTTCTTAATAATTTTCAAATACGTGTACATAAAAACGAATACATGTATTTAAGAACCCTAATTACTTAACTATGATTTGTCTTTATATTTAATATGGCAGGCAATATATGTACATAAGCAATACAATGCATTTGTTACAAAAGCAAAAATACAATGCATTTGTTACAATAGCACATTAACGAGATAGCCACATTTATTGATTATGGGATGTTGATTCTTGACCTTTGTAATTTTGCTTTTCTTACCAGTAAAGTCAAAAAGTCGCCATATTACATTAATGTACTGTGTCAGGATGACTTAAAAAACAACCGTAATATGAGGTGTCGTTGCAATCAGTTTAGGGCCATACAAAGTTATACACTAGCACAGCTTTCCTTTGAAGCGTGGTCGAGTTTGTTAACGCGTCGTACTAGTAATCTAATGATTGCTGGCAGCGTAGGTTCAAACCCCGTCAGAGGCCAGCCATTGTTTCCGTGAGCAAGAAACTTTACACTCATTTGCATCATAAGTTTGATTATTCTGAACAGATTTAATATTAAATATATCATTAAGCTAGGATTGTTAAGTTGATTTTTTTTTCAAAAATATAAATCATGCATCGTTGGCGTGTGATTTATTAATGTTTGTTTATTGATTGAAAAGAGATAGTTGATTTCGTCCTACAAACGATTAAATTATAGAGCAAAAACGTCATTTTTTATCCATATCCCTTATCTAAATTCAATATCATGGTAACAAAAATGTAGCACGTGATTTTCATATTTTAGAACTGTTACTGGCACGTGACATGGAGCTGGTTGTGTGTATAGATATAGGCTCCACCCACACTGGTTACGCCTACTCTTCTAAGAAGGAGTACGATGAAAGAATGTTAAATATACACCATAACGAGGAATGGATGTCCGGACACGCTAATCTACATACATTCAAGGTAATTTATTCCCAAACAATTAAATATTTTTTTTCTACTGTGTAGTTATAAGCTTTCATCATATTCTCCAAGGTAACTGTATATTTAGATTCTCATTGACTTACTTTTGGCTCAAACTAATATTCCGTGGAAATTGCATGGAAGTTACTATCACCACTTTGTGCTTCAAAATCAACCCTTGAAGGGCATGACTGGTAACATGTCAGGGGTCCGTACTCGAAAGCGAAAGCTGCATTTAGTGCCTTAAAGGCCGAATTAAACCCTCATCAAGCATAGACTATCGTATCGTTATAAGCCTCTATTTAACGGCCACTTTTATAAGAAACACGGGGCTTTATTGCCAGCATAATAATGACCATGACATAAAATGATAAAGAAGTCTCCCTTAATCAGAGACGTGATTTGAATAAAGGTCAATCATACATACAGTATATGTGTGCAAAATGGAATCGAATCACCGGTGACAAATCGTTTAAAGCTATTTTAAACTTAAACAACAAACCCCACTTTTTATTTATTTTGGGTGAAAAGTTTTCAATATAAATCAAATCTAGCTACAAAGGATAAGTGGCTCTAAATTGCTCCGCTCTTATATCATTGTATTTTCTCTTTTGTTACAAAAAAGTGCCATCCTCCGCAATTGAACAAATGAATAAAAACGGATTTCAATAAATCCACATTCATAAAAAAGTGTGCTCGTTTATAACAGTGAACTTTTAGCTCTATTTACCCAAGACTATTGAATTTCTATAATGTTTTGTAGACACCAAGCATAGCTTTACTACAACAAGACAAAACATTACATAGCTTTGGTTACGAAGCAGAGCGTAAATATACACAACTCCAGGATGTTAAACAGCAAGATATGTGGTACTATTTTAAACGCTTCAAGGCTGACCTTAAAACAAAGGTAAGGTTTCAACTTGCAGATCGAAAAAAGCTCTTATTCACTAACTTTCCCTAATAAGCTATCATATTCCAAAATATCGGAACACGCTGTTATTGTCCCAATCCATAATGAAAGTTCTCAAGTTCAAAACTACGATCAAATCTCCATCATTCCAAACTACAATATAATCTCTTATTCTCCAGACATCTTTATAATCTTTTATTCCCTATCTTATTCTGTACACTACTTTAAGGAAAACAGAGGGAAAACAGCACATTCCTATCTATATAATCTGCCCTTTTAATAATAAATATAACCTTTAATTGAATTATAAAAATACATTTTATTCTTTTTCACTTTTTTTCCTGAATTATTACCACTATTATCAATTTCGTATGACTGAGTCTGATTACTCATATATTTTCAACTTTATGAATATTAAAAGTTATGATTATTGTAAAATTAAACTTTTGCGTAAAAACAACGACATAAAATACATGATCACCGATATTTTTTTGTACATTTAACAACAGCTAACGAGCACTCGCTCGTTTAGTTTCAAGTAAAAATAACAATTCAAAAAAGTGAAATAGTTCATTTACAGGTTATTTATTATTAAAAAGGCAGATTATAGATATCAAAACAACTTAAAAATGTGTTTTCCCTCTATTTTCCTTAAAGTAATGTTAATGATTTTTAGAATTATACTTCTCTTGTTTGTTTAATGAAAAATTAAATGTTAAAGTAAGAAAAAAGGAATGTTGACGTCATGTATTCTTTTTCTTGTATTTTATTCAGAAAGTGTGATACTTGATCGTAGCCTCATGTTTGTATTTATTGTAATATAATAAAATAGATTTGAGTGTTATTTCATATGAAATGTAACATTTTACATACCTATCTTGTTAATGTTCATGCAGTTGTGTGATCTAAAGTTAGTTTTATTAATGTTTTATAGTCAGGGAGGTCTTTGTTTTGCTTGTAGCTAGACAGAACTAAAACCATGTATATACAGTAGAGTTCCAAATGTTACGTAAAAGTTACGTTTAATATAAAATAACGCTCAAATATCTATTTTATTACATTGCTATTAACACAAACATGAGACTACGATCAAGTATCACATTAATGCATCCTGCATAAAATACAAGAAAAAATACATGACGTCAACACTTAACGTGTATAAAGCTATATATATATTTTATGAACTATTTGTATATAATTTATCAGTAAAATCATACTGGTCCCGGTTCTCGAAATAGTTGTATCATTGAATGTCTCTGTTTTTTACGTAAGAAGAATTAAATGTTTTAGAACAAAATATTATTCTGCTATTTTAAGTAGAGTTTTATCTGTTTAATGATTCCGTGCATGCGCCTTTCATTTTTAAGGGGAATTTATTATCATATTAGTTTCATACAAGCGTTTTGAAAAATAAAATGGCAACAGATATACTTTTACTATTATTCGTGTGTGTTTGTATTTTTCTAGAACGTATATCACATAACAATGATTTAAAATATTTACACGTCATTTCTTTTCATACACGTATTTTAATTGTCCCAAAGTTATTGTTTTGTATTGATAAATATTCAAATTGAAGTTGCTATTTAAACACTTATTTAGATGACAATGAAATCATGGCTATGAAATAACAATATTGCATTAAAATTAAATATGAAAAATGCTAATCAACAATGCTAAATTATTGTTGCAACAGTCAATTATCTTACTATATTCCATTTAATCTCGTAACTAACTCACTTGTTTACAAACACCGATCATATCGTTAAAGTTATTTCACATTAATTTTGTTGCTTGATTTTATAAAACGGGTGTTTATCAATAAATCATTAATGTATGGTATTTGTGTAATTAAATCAATATCGCACTATAAATTTGAATGTAATAATGATGATAAAAGTAAATAACAAAAATGAGCATTATAGAAAAATTGGTGTAGTAACAACTTTAACTATACGATATTTTTCTATGTAAATTTGTGAACATGTTCCTATTATATGAGTTTACAATATATAAAAATATCAAATTCGTACATATTTTATTTAGATTTTATACAATCTTGTCACAGAATATTGGGACAACCCAAGTTCACACAGTTTACTAAATATATTGTACTAAACCTAAAAAAACGTTAATTGGCATAAACATCAACTTGTTTATCAAAAATTTGATATTTTCATTTAGTTTATTTTATGCTTTAAAATATATAGCATTTTTATAGCATTTCATATATATACCAGTTAAGTAATCAATACTTCAGCCACAAATTCACCAAACAGATGCAGAAGTATTTCATACTCAGTAAAGAAGGTCCCCAGAGACTTAGCAATAACTAGAAATATATAAATAAATGAGATAAAATAAATAAATTAAAGTGCAGATTTGGTCCGATTGTGTTGAAAATGCATGGTCAATAAAAATACTGATTCCATCTTTTTAAAACTGTTCCAGTTATACATATTTTTTCACAAGTACTCATTACAGGTTATGATATAGTTCAAAACTGCAGACCCGCCTTCTTTTTTCTTTTCATAATCACTCTATACTCAAGTTTGCATTTTAAACTAAGGGTTATATTATTTTGCTATGCCATTTTAATCTCGACTTTTAACATTTTTACTTGCTAACGGCATCTGTTTCAACTCATTCGTACAATGCAAACCAAGATCACCCCGCACATCCGTGCTGTCTGAACATGGTCGCCATTCTTGGCTATTAAGATAAAAGATGGACCAGTCAAATCTAAAATATTTAGCTTGGTAATCTATATCGTAGATATTTCAACCAGACCTACTTTTTATATGATTAAATTTTGATATGACTATATCTGTGAGATCAGCTCGAAATTTGTGTGTCAATTTCTTTCCCCAGCAATTTCGGAAAGACACTGTGATATTAGAAGAAGGAGGGAAATCCATCAACGGCGTTTCATTATTTACCATCATATTGAAATACCTGAAAATTCATTGTTTTGCTGGCTTGGAGGATAGTGCTCGCTACGGGACGTCAGAAGTGCTGGCAAAATACAATATTCGTTATGTGATAACCGTCCCAACCAAGTGGGATAATGCCTCAAGAGACTGTATAAAATCCGCAGCTAAAAAGGTAAATATAATAGTTTGATTCTTTCCTGTAACATTGTAATGCTCATGTTTCAAACTTGGAAATGAAACAAAACGAAACGAAATAATTTCTGACGTTAGAACAATAAAACATTCTAAAGAATTGTTTATAGTCTTATTGTTAAATGAACTAATACATGTAAATGTCATGATAACTTTACATATGACCATAATCGTCTTAATTTATTATTGTGCTTTAAAAATATCCAAAAACTCACGCTTTTTTCCAAAAGCAATTAATGAGCATAACGTTATTTAAATATGATAAGTATATGCACACTATATGCTTGCATTACATGCTTTAATAAATTGAGAAAAAAACCCTCATTTCAGGCAGGCTTGAATCCACATTATATTCATACGGAAAGTGAAGCCGCCGGCAGATATTGCCGACTTGTACCCATAAGGCCGACCACTGAAAATTCGTTCTATATACAGAAACCTCAAACCCAGCATATGATTGTGAATTTAGGAGGTAAGCCTCATGAGTATTATCTCATAGATATAAATAACTGTTACTTTTTTCTGATATAGTTTCTGAAATTTTAGTCACGCATGTCCTTTGCCATAATTATGTCGCCTTTCCAACTATACGTCAGGAAGATGATCTCGAGTGTTCCTTCGTGCATTTTTGTTCAGGCACGAAGTTGGCCACGAGTAGAACAACCGACCCTGTACATAGATTTTTTCACACGAATGAAGTCCCTGCCAGGATTTGAATCATGATGATTAAAATTTTGACAAGGAGATTAACATTTTTTTAACATTAGCTTTACTTTGGTTTACTCAAATCTCCATGTTCTTTTTTAATAAATTCGACATTAAATTAACAGATACAAACATCCATTATACTGCCATTTCGTTATTGAACATTATCACACAGCCATCGTGGCATTGCATACGTAACTGACCGTTTCAGTCAAAGTACCCATTTGAAATGTTACAGTTAAGATGCTTTTGCAACGTTTAACTATTAATTAGATATCTAAGTACTAGTATTCAATATAAGTTTTTGTTTTCTTTATCAGGAAGTGGGATAGACGCAGCAGTTCAAGAGATATTGGAAGACGGTGCTGTTAAAGAATTTCCAAAGAATGTTGGCAATGCATCAGGTGGTACTCGTGTTGACGCCGACTTTCTGAAATTCGTTTCAACGTTGTTTGGAAACGAGTTTATTGACCTTTACTCAAAAAAGAACCGAATAGACTTTTTGGAACTTCAGTATGAATTTGAAGTAAAGAAGCGGAAATTTTCCCTTGAATCGGATCAAGGAACAAGTCTTGAATTACCAAGTTCATTAGTGAAAATGTATACTACAAAATATAAACAATCACTTCAGTATATGATAGACGACACTGACTTCGTTGGAAAAATCTTGTCACAAGACGAATATCTAATACTTAACAAAACAGTCATGAAAGACATTTTTGGTCCTGCTGTAAAAAGTATAGTTGGGTACCTTACTAATTTGTCACGTGACCCGGAAACAAAAAAGTGTGATGTTATTATTCTAGTAGGTGGATTTTCAGAGTCTCCAGTTGTGACGGGTGCTACGCGATTTTATTTTCCAAAGTCAAATATAATTACAATGGAAGATGCGTCTTTAACAGTATTACGGGGCGGTGTCCTTTTAGGTCACAATCCAGAGCCGATCCTTACGGTCACACCAACTTTTTCTTACGGTATCGGAATGGCAGTTCCGTTCAATGGTAACCAACACCCAAATGAAAAACTTTTCCTAGCGAAAGAGAAACAGTATTGTTCAGCAGTATTTGCACCGCTTATTAAAGCGGGAAGAACTGTAAGCGTTACAGACTTTAGTCGATCAATTAAATTATCGCTAAACAGACAGCTTCAGAAAGTGGTGGCAGTGCCTGTGTACGCATCCAAAGACTTACGAGCCAAATATGCTTCAGAAGAAAGTTGTTATTTGTTGGGTAAGCTCAAAGTGCCCGTTGGTGATCAGGACAAAGTTGTTGTGCGCTTCCTCATTCTTGGTGACTTCCTGATTGTCGAAGGGTTAACTGAAACTTTTAGAACAATAACTCAAGAATCGTTCAGTCTTGTCCCCGTCGATAAACAAAGTTGATGGAAGTGAATTGATAGTCTACAGCGTTCGCGCTAAGTTTCCTCAAAAAGATTTTACCTGTTCACCTTGTATTAAATGAGATTGATATCTACTCATTTTGCAGGAGCTCAAAGTCTTACAATTATTTGTGGAGTTGAACATTTATTGCTGTGATGGATTATGTTAGCATGCAAGGAATAATGAAGTTAACTGCTTTTAAAAAAATAACTTTGGGACGCTTTTGATGTGATATCTATTTACAAAGTAAACAAATAAGACAAAACAATACAAAAAATGCCTCTGTATAACATAATAGAGAAAAACAGAACCCCTTAAGAACGCCCAAAAAAGACAAAATTAAAAGTTTTTTTTAGCTTGTTCATGAAAAATGGAAGTTACCGTCCACGCCCACACGGCTAAATTTGACATTTCTCATTTCATATTCATAAAAAAACCTTGGATCAAAGCATCTTACACCTTTATGATGGTACTTCCTTTCAGTAAATGGCATTTTGGTGTTTTATATATTTTAAAATTTGTTACGATGCAGACTCAATTTATGGACCCTATGACAATGTGATACAGATGAAATAGGATGGAAATAGGCTTATACAAAATGTTTATGCTTAGAATATTATAATCATGCCCATGGAGTGTAGCTTTTATGCTTTGAATATGATAAATTCTACACACATTATTTCGATTGTTTATGGTCTCGTGTTTTAACAAATCAATAACAAAGGTCAAGATTAATATAAAAAATAAATAAATAAAGGAGAATAAACAAAAATATGAAGACATATAAACTGGATGAATTAGGAGATGTGGAATCTTGTGTCTAAGAATTCTACTTGCGGATCACCTACATGACTAAACGTTTTGATGTTTTCTTCAAAATTTACCCCAATTAACCAATCCTCTTATCTAAGGGATAAACCGTTTCACATCAGGTGACTTCTCATGCCGGTGCACGCCACACCGGTAGTCAATAGCAAAACATAAATGTTAACTCAAATAAATGATAAGGTCATCAATTATGCATATTTCTATACACAATTCATTACGCTCGAATATGTTTCCATAAAGCGTTTCGCTTGCATACATTTATATATTTGTACCCTAAACTAAATTACAAATCATGATGACTTTACAATATTTTATGTTGTTCTTAATCAGTGTTTATCATGAATTAAGTGGTATATGACTTCGAATTTATGTCTTGTAACTTCTGTGCAGCATTAAATGCAAACCGACCACCAACAGACCTTCAAACAACATGAACACAGCTTTTGCAGTTGTTTTAGTTTGCTTTCCAAGATAACATTGGAAAATATGTTTAAATACATTTATGAAGTGATAATTTGTTTGTATTAGGAACAAGTACGATTTTTCATTTAGTATGGGACTGGAGCAAGAAGTATAAATTTTACCCATTTTGGCGCCTTCAGCTTTCATCATGTTTGTTTCATATGGTCATATTTTACCATTTTAATACATTTGTATGATTATTTATTTATTTATTTATTTATTTATAGATTAACTTTATTGAAATTATTATTGACAAATTAAAGCATGTGGAACAAGAATGTTTTGTTGTCATTTATTAGCTGGTCTGTTTTAGAGAAAAAGTCGACCTATTTGATTGCTGCGTCGTCGTTGCCGTCGGCGTCGTAAAACAAATAATATAAATAGCCAATTACACGAAGAGTTTAAAATGTACGATTTTTGATTTAGTATGGGACTGGAGCATGAAGTATAAATTTTACCCATTTTGGCGCCTTCAGCTTTCATCATGTTTGTTTCATATGGTCATATTTTACCATTTTAATACATTTGTATAATAACGTATTTATTTATTTATATGTTAACTTAATTGAATTGATTATTGACAAATAAAAGCATGTGGAACTCAAATGTTTTGTGGTAATTTATTAGCTGGTCTGTTTCGGAGAAAAAGTTGACCCATTTGATCGCTGCGTCGTCGTTGCCGTCGGTATCGTCAGACAAAACTATGTATATAGCCAATTACACGAAGACTTTAAAATGTATCAATGACTTCCTTCCAGTCAATAAACAATGGAATTTTCCGAATTGCAAAATAAGCTCCTTTTCTTCCCCATTCATTAAACAAGGAACCAGTATAAGCTCTTATTGTCAAACTACGATATAAGCTCTTATTCTCCCAAGCACGATGTAAGTCTTATTGTCCAAACTATGATTAACGCTCTTATTCTCTCAATTACAATAAAGGTCTCATTCTAATAATAGCAATGTGAGTTCTGATTCTACTTTATAGATTTATTCTCTTAACTACGAACATCGTATTTTTCCCAACAGTTTGCACTATTTTTTCTCAATTAATATATTTTACAAGCTTTACTTGTTACCGTTTTATACGTGTCGTATGCTTCAGATCATTTATAATAAAACTATAATTATGTTTTTAGCTTTATTAATATTTTATGTGATGATTATTATATAAAAAACTAATACGTTTAACAAGAACAATAAAGCCATAATCGTATTTTTATTTGCTTTTAAATGTTATGTCACAATTTCTTTAAAGCGGCCTTCAGCTTTTCTTAAGATTAGATATGTAACTTGTAGATAAATCATTCCATATAATTCTCAAATCAAAATAATTTTAACGTGGAAAATGAAATTTGCCTTCGTCAAAATACATAAACAATAAGGAAACCCCTCGATACCTCTAATATACCGCTCAACTCTCCATATGTAAATTAGCAAAGCGGACGATTTGTTTCCCTAATTTCTATTTTTAGAAACGAACGTCACTGGCGTGCTATAAATAGCTCTCGGTCTACTGAATCAACTCAGAATTGTTTTTCAAAAAAGCTGCTTTAAAAACATTCAATAACAAGTCACTTCCGGCTCATTTATCTTGTTTAGTTTGAAATAATATTTAGCGATAGACAATAATATTAAATATGACATGAGAATTCTTCTATATGAATATAGTATTAGTTCTGCTAAGCTGCAAACAATAACAAAGGCATTCCTCTATTTATCATTAATATAACTGCCACAGAAATCAGATCGGTACATAAAAAATTACTGAGCATATCAAATAACACTCACATTCATTTTATTGCATTGCATGAAGCACAAGCATGAGATTTTGATAAATTATAACATCATTTTTATTCTTGAATTAAATATAACTAAAAAGAATGCATGACGTCAACACTTAATTTATTATCAACGCCAACAATACATTTTATTGATTTGACCAGTTACTGATCATCATCATACACATATCATTTGTCTGTATTTGTATTTTTTTCTAGAATGCATTTATAATAACATAAATATGATTTGAAATGTTTACTCGTAATTTCTTTTCATACAAAATTTTAATTGTCCCATAGTTATTGGCGTCCGGGCGTCCGCGCCGAAGCGCGGCGCCCTTATGGAATGAAATCAGATTTTGTGAAAGGGCGACAGCAACTTCTCGAGCCTTTTAGTCAGTCATAATAAAAGCCGATCATTCCGATCGGTATGAGGGTGCTTGATTATTAATTAAGAATGAAATGTCGCGATATGTTACAATGAATAGCGAACTAGAGAATTTTTGCAATGCAAACATTTTCAAATGAAATAACCTTTTCCGTCAAAAAATCGCGCTCTTCGGGTTTTTTTTATTTATCATTTTGTAGTACACAGTGGGTTATCATGGTATTTTATTGTTGTACATGTATCCTAGAATGATCAGTTGATGACCTAAATATTCCGAAAATCTATTTATAGATATATCTATTTATCACTCCTATCGGTAATTACCGGTCTCTCCCAGTCTATTTTGACCGGGATTTACTAGTGACCGGCGAATAGTACCACACGTTTATTGTCCGGTCTCTCCTGGTTTTGAAGTAGATGTTTGATATCGTTACAATTAAAAAAAACAACAACAACAACAATAGCATGTTTCATTTTATCTATATGAGATAAAAACAATAAAAATGTACAATAATTGAGAAAAATGTACATTTGTATGGTATTAATATGACATTATCAACTTTGAAACATTTTATTTAATTTGTTATCCGTGTTTAGTAAAGATGCCGAGGAATTATTCAAAGTTACGAATTAGATTTTATGAATTATTCAACTGATTGATAATTTAAAAAATGATAAAGAAAAATACAAATGTACATGTACATGGTTTAAGAATAAACAATATTATATATTGAAAGATAAACCATAATTTACTGACTTTTTCCAGTTAAGTTTTGACTTATAATCGTCGGTTAATATGACAATTGAATTCTTAAAATTTATTTTACAATTTTAATAAAAAAAGAGTAGTAAAAACTCAGTATTAAAATAGCACATAAAACACAAAAAAGAAAAGAAAACAATATTCATAAAATTTGTATGTTTTTTTATTAAAATTAATAGATATTACATTTATTGTATAATAAACAATTATGCTCAACATGATCAACATGGTTATATAATCAGTGTCATATTTTTACTAAGTGTGAACAGATACCTTAAGAGGGGGTCTTCGCTAATAGCGATAACATAATAAGGGACAATTACAAAGGTGTGGTACGTGTTGATCATGCGTTACACATATGGATTATAAATGATTGTATACATGTATATCTGTTGCTATTAATTACCACGATCATAAAGAAATAACAAGTAATATTCTAATCTCTAGCATGCCAATCAAAGTTCATAATGAACAATGTCTTTCGTCCGCTCATTCATAAGTGATATACATTTCTGGTTGTTTATAAGAATATCTTGTCATCATTTGTCTACTAGTTCATCTTCACTTGCTGCATTTCTTGCTTGGACGCCCTTTGATGCTTTGCATCAATGCTTTTCTTGTGAGTTATTGTTTTGTACTGACAAATATTCAAATTAAAGGTGTTATACACACACTTGTTTAGATGACAATAACACGATAATCGTGGCTATAAAATAATAATATTGCATTAAAATCAAATTTAAAAGAATCCTAATCAACAATGCATTATTGTTGCAACAGTCAATTCTTTTATCATATGCCATTTAATCTTGTAACTAACTCACTTGTTTACAAACACCGATCGCATCGTTATAGTTAATTCACATTGGTTATCAATAAATCATTATGGTATTTGTGTAATGAAATCAATATAGCACTATAACTATGAATGTAATAATGATGATAAAAGTAATAAATAAATGAGCATTGAAGAATCGTTGTTGTTGTTATTTTTGTGTTGTTGCAGTTTCAACTTTACATCCAGTTTACTGTATGTATCGTACTTGTTTTAAGTGTGGAATTTTGATACATATAGCAAATGTATGAAACGAAAACGATGACTGGCATAAACATCAACTTGTTCATGCAAGTTATTCAATGCACTATGCAGAGAATAATGAAGTTAAATATGTTTAAGTGTTTAAGTTGGGTTTCCTCTCGCTTCCAGATGGACTGTAACAAACTCGCAGGGTATACCTTGACACAAGGTGCTTTTGATGCACTTTTACCGAGATATTCATTTAAAAGGTAAAATACTAAGGCACAGCTCTAAAACAGTATTCGAAGTAACAAACATAACATTTCTCATTCCATAAAAAGACCCAAATGATTACTTCTGTTTCAAGAAGAACTTCTACTCAATCTGGGCGTATCTTAAAGCCTTATGAATGCCATATTGGCGTTTTCTTTCGAAAATTGTTACGATGCAGAATCACTTGTTTGACCCATGTGATCTGCAAAAGTATATAACAATCAATGAAATAAGTTGATGCAGACGTAAATTGGATAAAAATATGTTTATAGTTTTTTATACTGCGAACATGTTCACGATTTATACCATGCCCATGATGTTAAATTTTTATTCTTCGAATATGGTAAAATTCTGTTATGTTTTGTGCTCTTGCATACCTTAATGGTTTGAACAAATCAATAACAAAGGTCAAGGTAAACATAAAAAGTTTAACAAAAAAAATGTAGGCATATATTCAGGACGAGAGTGAGGATGCAAAATCTTATGTCTTAGACTTATCACTTTTCGCGTATCAAATCTGTCAAATAGCTTTTTTGTTGTTCCTCATAATCAATCCTGTTTTCTCGGGAAAAAAGTGCATCAGATACTGATAATTCCCCATAGTGATAGTCTACAGAAAGACACGAGTATAAAATATCAACTTTGCCCTCAAATAAATGGTAGTCATCAATCATGTATGAAACTGTCATTTATGTTTTATTTATCAAATATGTTTCCATAATGCGTTTTGATTGCATACATTTATATATTTGTTCGCAATATCATGCTGACTGTAATTGATTTGATGTTGCTCCAACTTGATCATGAATTAAGTGGCATGACTTCGAACTTGTGTCCAGCATCAAATGCAAACCTAACACACACCTTCAAAACAACATCGACACTGCTTTTGAAATATTTCTTTCCGGACGAAGTCCGTCTGAGAACGACTTCCTGTAAACTTTACAGGGAAGAATTGTATATTAGAAGGATTTTCATTGGTTATTTATAGATTACAAACTGAAGTCAGGGAATCTCATCGGTCATTCTAAAAATATTGTAAGCATATAAAGGATCTTTTTGAAACGTACACATTATAAGGTAATCTAAAGGCGCTTCGGAAACAGTCTAGTTACATTTCTTGGATATTTGAGATTTGTAAACTTCCTCCAAATAAACTATACTATACTGCTTTAAAACTTTTCATTTATTTTCTCGTGACCAGCTCATTCATTATAAGAATTAACTGAGTTATAAATCGTCAATATTTATTATGAATTAATACTTTTATTAAGTGATAATTTAATTGTATAAGGAACAAGCAAAATCTTAAAGTTAGTGAGGGACTAAAACAAAAATTATAAATTTTACCCATTTTAGCGCCTTCAACCATCATTC